TTGCAACAACTTTGGGTCTCACCTTGTGTACCCATCGGCTTGGCTGGTCTTGCTCCTCGATTGACGCAAAAGACGTAGAGACTTGGTCATTGTGTAAAGCGGAGCTTGGTAGTCCACGAGTGGATATGCTTCACTCGGGACCGATATTCTTGGGCTCAATCGATTGCGTCAAGAGCAATGCACCTAGGACTATGTACGCCTTCGGCGGCTAGCGGCATTTGGTCTTTCGACCCCTTTGTCTTGATCCCCGTAGGGAGACCGCTTCCTGTAGCGGGTCTTCGACTCTTGACACCGCAAGCCAAATATCCTAAGGCTCAACTTGCATAACTGACCCGTCCAACGCTCGCTGACGTCGGGAGGTCAAAGGGTATCTCGCTCGGAACAAGTGGGGTGAAGAAGAAGCTTGGAGGGGGCGTTTAGAGCTGCCACATGAAATGCAAATTCGAGTGTGTTTATTTATCTTATGCTCTGTTTCCTTTTCTTGCCTAACCCTCACCCTTCACTTCGGATGACGCAACGTGTCGACTCTTGCGAGAAGAACTGGCTCCTTTAGGTCCTGTACTTGTACCGGCTCTGTGCTGTTGTACCCCTGTTCCCCGGTGACCGTTACCCCTGACTTTCGTGACTCTGTAATCCTGTACCCTCGGGGCCTTCGGCTAAATCTTGAGACCTTGCGAGGCCTAATCATCGTCATTCCTTAGTGACAGTGACCTGCACATATTTGCCCTTTTTTAATATCCTCGAGGGGCCCCGATTCTCCTGACAATTCTCCACATTAGTGCTAGTGGATGCGAAAGACTGCGACGACTCTGCGTGATTGCCGATGACGATATGATTAAGGTCAGCAAGGTGGGGAGTGCCAATATGCTTGTGAATGTTGATGTCGAGTAAACAGCAAGTCACAGTGGGCGATGTGCACCATGCGGAATAGGTGGCGCACAATTTACTCTTTTACTGCAAATTGTAAAAAAAAGTGTGAGTGTCGTACACTAATGGACAACGCTATCTCAAGCGGGCTAGAGACGGATCGTGAGTGTTTAAAAGTCATGCAAGAAAATAATGCACTGAAAAAAATGTGTAGGAAGCTTCCACACCGACAGTCAGAAGTGACGTGTTTTTTTGCAGCCGTGCCTCTCCTTTTAATACCGTTTAGATAATGGCCGACGCATATTTATCAGACATCAAGCTGATCGATCGCAGCCGTCCCAACTGTCTCATTTGCTCTTAAGGGAAGCAGTCGAAGAACGCCCAGACTAAACAAGACGCTGCAGATAGCGCCCAGTGACAGGAACAAGAATCACTATATGGTGAGTTTTATTGATCACAATTCCAACTACTGCCGATCTTTCGTGGTCAGGACCAATGATTAGGCTGCAAAGATGCTCGAGATTTTTGGTTTACTTCGAAAGATTGTATATTTGCAAGATGCACGTGTTACGTACCGACGGAGGAGGTGTGTACAAGTGCTGACCTGTTCTGCAAGTCTACGTGAGGACTACGCTAATTGATTGAAGCCAAGAACCAGGAATCGAATGTAGAGCGAATGCTTGGCACGGTGCTGAACATGGAGATGAGATGCAATATGCCACGTACGCTCTCAATCGCAGTCCTAGCAAAGCGAACCCAAAGAGTATGTCACTACAAGAGAGTTTGAAAGGAAAGGCGCCCAATATATCCAAAATCGTAGTTTTTGGAAGTCCGTGTACCGTCGATCGCATCCCAGAAAGAAAGATTCGAAACATCGGGAGGAAGTTGGCATGATCATTGAAAAGGACGGCGAGACGAAGGGTTACAAGGTCTACATACCTCACAAGCGAATAATTGTGACAAAACAGCACGTCAAGAATGTCGAGACGCTGAATGGAGATGGGAACCGTCACCTCCAAAAAAATTCGACACTTGAGCAATCAATTCTAGACCGCTAGAAAGTCAGCAAGCGGAAGGAGCAGCTTAGAAAAACATTTAATGTAATGATCTACATTACACACATAGTTAACACAAATAAAAAATACATATGTAGACAGGTGCTGGGCCCGAATAGCGGGCACAGCGTGACAATTTATTATTGGTTAATTATTGGGGCCTAAAGTTCCAATATGGACCAATGATTAATCAACCTGAAATTGTGTGGTTCCCGAAAGGCAGGAACACTGTCGTATTTATTACGACTAAAATTTTCGTAATTAGTACGAATTAAAACCAGAATATATTATCAGAGTTAAATTTACTTAATACCTAATACTTGGGCTTGAGTCTTCCTCAAGCGCACGTGTAAGCTAGTGACGGTGCGTTATAGCCCCGTTACATTTAACGGCCGCGACATCGCTGAGCAGAAGGAGCTGTACCGCGTTGGGCAGGGGGGAGTAAGCGTGACAATTGAGGCAAGGGACCGCGAAAATTGTCGTGACATGGGGCCGTACCGTCGAAGACACTAAGGCAGTTGAATTAGGGGAGACATCGTCTGGACGAATGACCACGAGATATATGGGTACAAAGCATGTTCCCGCTGAGATCATTGCCGTGATGATGGATCATAAGAACTAACGTGAAGTGGTGCAATCATGACGCTCAGGCGATTGGCAGAAAGCAATGACTGCCTAGACCGAGTCGCTCAAGGCCAACAACTCCTGAGAGGTCGTGCCGGGTGCTTTAGGACAGAAGCTGTTGCACTCATAATGGTTATATAAAGCCAAGGGCCACGCTGACGACACGCTAAAACGGTACAAGGCGAGGATGGCCGCCTGCGGGACCAAGCAATCTCATGGAATTGATTATACCATGACATTTAGTGCAGTAACACAACATGACGACGGCGAAGATAATTTTGGCGATCGCAAGGGTGTGGCGAGTCCCCGCGCGACATGGAGACGCTCCGTACGCATACGTGAAGGCCGAAAAGTAAGAAAGACAACCTGAAGATCTTTCGGCACCTTCTCTAAGGTATAATAATGGAAGGGAACAAGCTCAAGGTAGCTGATCAAGGCAAGAGATACCGGGTAGGGGTGTTTCCTTTGGTGCCTTGGGTAAGCACCAGCCTGTGTCGTAAGTGGCGCAAGCTCAAATCCCCCTTCGATTAACCCAAGGTCTAAAAACGTTGTGGCACACACTACTCTCACTGGTAACCCCCTGGGAACCCTGGTACAAGTGAGTACGGAATCCCGTAGAACCATCGAGCCCCAATACCAAGTTCGTAGGGGCTATCCGGCCTGGTTGGCACCCAGAACATCCGGCAGAAGTGCCCGTCCGTGGCGCGATAGCCATGGCCGGTCAGGGATGTGTAGGCCCTTGCCGAAGAGGATAGTACCAGGTTGTTAGAAATACTAAACGAACCGGCTGTATCTAAGAAAAAGGAAAAAAGAGACACCGGGTAGCGTTACGATTGAAAAAGAGCCTCTACGGCCTGTAATAGACTAAAAGATGCTGGGTCGAGCTCCTGCACAAGATGCTCGTGGAATTGTGTTTTGTGCTAAGTTAAACTGACAGCTGTCTATACTAGAGAAGGGGGATTTCGAAACCACGATTGTCGGTGTGTACGTAGATGACCTTTTGTTGGCTGGCACGAATATGGCCCTCGTTACACATTTCTTTTGAGACATGTGCGTGCTAGAGGTGAAGGATCTCGGAGTGGTGACGAAGCTTCTAGGCATGGGGGTAAAGTGCGGCAATGAGAAATGATACATGATTGATCAAGAACAGTACACTCGAGAGCTACTCGTTACAGCTGGACATGATCTGAAAGAACTCCATACGAACATCGAATCGGAAAGGATCAAGACAGCGGAGGCCATGTCGATCTCCTACCAGGGGGAAGCGGTGGAACGATGGAGCAACCAACGATAGCCCCGTTTCAATCCTTGATAGGACGCCTGATGTGGCTTGCGCTCTACACGTGATCGAACATCGCGTGTGCCGTGTATAGATCCAGCCGACGAGCGCACGCGCGCGCGAGCGCACGTTTGCGATTGAAGATGAGCTAAGCGGTTCGTAAAGTATCTGAAGGGAACAATAAGCTTTACGTATCTGAAGAACGACAATGATAAAGAGACCAAGGATCAAAGGATATCACTAGAAGGTTACAAAGACGATGATTACGCAGCGGATTGCAAAGATCGTAAGTCTGTCAGTGATGGCGCGTTGTGTATGAACGGAATGATCTTGTGGCAAATCTGCAAAAGACAAGCAAGTCTGGCTTTATCTACGATGGAAGCGGAGTTTGTACCAGACTTGCTGGTAGCGAGTAAGCTACTGGGAATGTTTGAGCTACATGATGAGGATGGAATCAAGGTGGAAGCCCAAATAATGCTGAACATCGACATTCAGGCAACTGTTAAAAAATCACCAGAGAGGTCAGCTTGGGAAGGGCAAAACACATCGCGGTGTGATAAATAATTACAGCAAGAATGGAGCGATCAAGGTCGTGTAATGCGAGTCTAGGATGATGTGGTCTGTTGTACATTCGCTGCTCCGAGGCTACGCGAACTGCGCGAACTAATTTCTCTGGTGTGAGGACATCCCGAAAAGGAGTGTTGGAACGGCACGACTCTTGCAGCACAGCGCCTGCTGGAGTGCAGCGACTGTTCATAAGTAGGCGGGTGTTCGCTGTGTGAGTCATAGATAACGGACAGATACGAGCGTGACAGGATCAAATCGTTTACAATAACTTTCAGTTCTACATCTACCTTGTCAGGCGCACGTCGACTTGATATGAAGCGTGTCTATTAAAGGATAAGAAACTGACAGCCCCCGTTGTATCGATATCGTGTGCTAAGTAGTTGTGGTATACATTTGTTGGTTTGGTCAAGTGAAGCAAGAGAATACAAAGTGTATTTTTTCAAAAACTTGATCAAAATAGATGATTTTCTCAATGTAAGAAAAATTTATGGAACCTAACTTTTTTCTTCCATTTTGTCCATGATGTCAAACAACCATTCTTTTCACTTTTAATTTCCTCTCGTATCTGATAGGTAGCTGCACTAAACACATACCATTGATCAACAAACCTATGAACTACTGTATGGTTGATAACCGTTAGCTTGGTCGCGTGCTGCATCCAAAGCGCTCACTCGAGTGCCCATAGTAACACACGCAATACAAAATGTGATCTTGTGTCGTAGTAACTTTCGATTCGGTGAAAGAAAACTAATTGTCTTTACTTCCTTGCATCCCGAGCACAACCCACCCAAACACATTGTGCATTTATCCTTCCACCAATTTTGTATACAACTTTGTTGCAGGTCACGGTTACATGTGACGCAAACGTCTTCATGAGGTAACACCGGGGCCACGTTGCCCACACGCAGTGCTGCCTGGCGTTGTTGCAACATCCACGTCAGTTTCTTCATCTGTCCACACTTTACGTAGTTCGTAGCTGACAAAAGCGCATTAGCACATATGGGCAGCAAAAGCGATTCCATGATACTACCACCGGGATCAACCGAGTCAAAAGCAAACGTGTCAATCACATTTGGGGCGACCTGTCGAAAGAAACCAGTAATAGTGTGTTTCGCACGCACAACATTCGGCAGTGGTTGTACTAATGGTGAGTCAATTGAGTGCAGCATCAGGTAGCCAACCCGTTCACCATTTGCAAAATGCAGGATACCCGACGCCTCAAGACAGAGGAAATCCCGGTCCTTGACTAACTTTGTGTAGCTTAGAGGTAAATCAATTTGCAACCACTTGACCGTCACGGAGCGGAAGGGGTCAGTTGCTGTAGGTTTTACCAACGTGGCTAGTACAGCTCCATCACTGTAGTCATGGACGTACGAGGCTTTGACGTTCATGATGTCGTCGGTCGGATTCACAGTGCCGAACATGAGGTCGTCCAACTGTCCTTTGAAAGTTCCCACACTGATCACTATGGGTTTCGTCAGACGAGTATCGTCCGTTGGTCGGTAGCACTGCTGAGCGCCCCTCTTTTTTTTAGTTGACGCCTTGGTGCGTTTCACGTAAATATGGAGGTCGTCCTTGGACTTGACGTGTTTCCAGCGAGCTGTGTTCACTTGCGAGTTGCTCATGACAAACTTTTCGTATTTGCGAAAAGTGTCCTCGACCAGGTCTTTTTCGAGCTCAAAGAGTGTGCGTTGGTCTTTTAGAGTGAGTGGTAACGGATGATAAGGGCTCATGTTGAATCGATCTCTAGGCATCGTCCGCGCCGCGGCGAGCTTATTGTGTTGTGGTGGACAAGGTGGTACACGTCCTGCCTATTTACACTACCTGTATGCTTCGGATTGTGTGTCCAGGACGATAATGAGAAACGTTTTGTATGAAGAACGGCAATCAATTTTCTCGCTGTCGATCGGTTCACTGGCGTACCAGTACGACCAACTCTGTACGATGCTATTGATGCTTGACGTCGTATCATGGCGGATCTCGGAACGATGTACCGATGATCCGCACAGCGACGGCCACCGTATCGCCCTTCCACGTGACAATTACGGGCGACTCGTTCTGTCTGTAAGCGGGAGATTAAACTCAGTCTCAAGCACGACACATGATGGCGCAGACTTCGATGAAGAGGTCCGTCCTCACGAAAGTGGCTGGATGTGGACTCTTTCAAGTCGCTTGGCCCTGATCTGTAGGGGCTACAGATCTGGTTCACGGGAAGACAACGATCGATGCACCTGCTAAGTCCAGGATTTGCGCAGGTTTAGGACCTCATGGACCTCTTTTTACAATCATCGTGTACATCTCTTGTCTGACATGAGGACTGGGAATTGTTAACCGGAAGCTTCCCTACATGGGTCTGATACTCATTTTCCATGGAATCCCAAGTTTCAGCCCTCGTCATCTTTGGTCTAGGGTCATCAAAATGATGACTCGAGTTGGAAGGGATGGGCTCTAATCCATGCACTATCCAACAGTTGGAAGCCAGAACCACTGACTCCTTAATATTCTACAATGGCTTGACTATCTTCAGCATGAAGCTCCACCTATCACTTGAACTTTTCTACACGTGTACTCGATTCGGGGAACATGCTCACGAAACCAGCGGAAATATTCTTATGGTACAGTATCGCTTTGCCGTACTCATAGACGTCACAATCAATCTCAGCTCCGAATCAATAAGCTGTCAAAGCCACTAGCCTCATGCTCGCGTGGTTCCTTGAAAGCGACGACCCGCTCAAGAAGTTTGGACTGTTGGTGGTCGGAATCTGTGTTGGTGCTGCAGTCGCCTCGCAATGTCTACCAAGTAACAACACTGACAAGAAACTGGTAAAGTATCGACAGAGCATTACACCAGGAGCACATGGGCCTGTTCAAGTTCCGTTCTTACCGTCAGCACTCCCGGTCGTTGGACACGCCGTCTATATGGCCTATCATGCAAACAGGTTCTTGGATTGGGTCACAGACATCTTTCTCTCTCGCAATGGAGCTCCGTTCACTTTGAGTCTGCCGTTTCAACGTGACCTCATCTTTACTGCTAATCCACAGCACTACGAACACGTTATGAAGACACAGTACGACAACTTCGTCAAAGGTGACCACATCTACGAATTGCTCGTGGACTTACTAGGCGATAGCATCTTGATTGTTGAAGGTGACGAGTGGAAGTTTCATCGTCGAGTGTTCGTCAACCTCTTTAGTTCTCGAGCACTGCGTGAGCACATGGCTCCCATTATTCAAAAACATGTTCGTGTACTACAGCATGTGCTTACAAATGCCGCTAAAACCAATGAAACCATCGATATGTTCGCGTGCTCAGGAAGGTTCACGCTCGATGCGTTCGGAGAGGTTGCATTTGGCTTCAACATGAGCACACTCACGTTAAAGCACGAACACCCATTCGAGAAAGCTTTCGTAAGCGCACAACACATTGTCGCAGCTCGACTATTAGAACCCACTTGGTACTGGAAACTGAAGCGTTGGTTGAACGTAGGAAGCGAAAGACACCTCCGCAAGGCGTTGTCGACTGTCGACCACTTCGTCATGAATGTCATTTCGAAAACGATGGAGAAGTGCAACACGCCCCACGATGACAACAGTAAGATCCGTAATCAAGACATCATCTCCCTTATACTTGCAAACGAAACGGTGGACGGCAAACCCGTGGATCCCATCGTGATACGCAACATCGTGCTCATGGCATTGATAGCTGGTCGTGATACGGCAGCGGATGGATTAGCATGGCTGTTCCATTTGCTCACACTCAACCCGCGCGTCGAACAAAAGTTGCGTGCTGAACTAATGAACAAGTTGCCAAAGCTTGGCACAGACTTGGACTACGTCCCGGACATACACGAAGTACAAGGCTTGGCGTATTTGGAGGCGACGATCTGCGAGGCGCTGCGTTTGTTTTCACCTGTGGGCTTGGCACAAAAACTTTGTATCCGCGACACCGTTTTCCCAGACGGCACGTTTGTTCCAAAAGGGTCAAACATCGCGCTCACGTACTATGCGATGGCCCGTATGCCGCGTGTTTGGGGTGCCGATGCTGCATCGTTCGTACCAGAACGGTTCATTGATCCTCGAACGGGCGATATGCTCAAAGTGTCGTCGGGCAAGTTCAGTGCATTTAACACGGGTCCACGTGTGTGCGTTGGACGCAACCTCGCTATGATGGAGATGAAGATGGTAGTCGCTTGTGTAGTGAGCCGATTCCATCTGGACGAAATACCTGGTCAAAATGTAACCTGCTCCATAGGACTTACAATTGGTATGAAGAACCCACTCATGATGCGCGTGCAAAAGATCTCTCGAGCTGATGAGGTTGTTGGAGTGGCTGCTTAATTTCCCAACACATGACAAATATGACATTAGTATATGTATGTAAGTTGGATATATGACACATCTTCTTCCAGGCTTACGATTGTCGTATTTGTCAAACACATGTCTTGTTCATAGCACGCAACGAGATAGTAGCCCAAGTCCAAGTGATACCCATACTAGTCCGTAGTGTAAGGGTGCAGTCAATCACAGCACAAACACACGAGTCAATGGCCTACATAGTTGAACGCATCCTTGCCATCTTTTCGCTAGTATCCACAAACAAACGTCGACAATAAAGACCAGACATCTCATCAAGTGGAAACAACATTAACACCACGAACCAAAATTTTTCCAGCTAAATCATCAGCGTATACAGAAAACCACAGAGTCGACAACTAGTCACCATCTCGTCCTCACGAACGTTAACTTTTGCATACAAAATTACTCAATCTCAATCACGAAATTAGCATCACAAACCACATTCCACGACTTGACCAAGACACATTCGGCAAATACTTTATAGAGAACTTGATAAAAAAACATAGTGGCACTTGCAAACGACATTTCTTGTGTCTCAACGACATCATGTCGCTTTTCTTCCAAAGACATGATTTGTTGCCATTGTTTTTATTTATTTCCAATGCCACTTTGTGCTGAATGCTATTTATTATTATAGACTTTCTTAGTCTATCGCATGAGTCACCAGCCAATTTATATTAGCGAGTATCAAGCCACGAAATATCCGAAATTGTTATGAAAATACGAAAAAATCACGACATTTCGTAAAAAAGAGCTCGACCGATGAATCGTCATCATTTTTTAAATCTTGAGATAAAGTCACTAGTCTTTTTAGTGAACGTGTATCTTGAAGCGACTAAGTTCGTGCTTAATTAATCGTTAAATACGTGCAACCGGAGCATCATACAAATCAAAAGTCAAACAGTAGAGCCGATACGACCATTGATTCATGAAGACCCCGTCCTCTTGCCACGCGTTGCTTTGCTTTGCAAGTCGTACTGTAGGTTGTAGTATCATGCTCCTTACGGTAATAGCAAATGAAAACGAACTTTACAACATATGACACCTTATTTTAGGGTTTAAATTGGTGAGATTGTTCATTTGTTTTAAACGTTTTTTTGAATTAATGGAAGATTAATCGGAATAAATAAACAAACTCTATTAATAGGAAATTCAACTGAAATTGTATTTTTTTAATTTGTAGCAAAAAAAGATCTTATACATAAAATTGTAAACAGCTACAAAAATTAATTTTAAATGTCAAGTTTTATTGTGCAGTGAAGAATAAATAATCACAAATACATTATATTTTGGAATTTTATTATAAAAAATACTTTGCACACAAAGAAGCCTATGCTGTAATTATATAAAAGTGTTATACAATTACGGCATAGGCTGCTTTAAGTCCACTATTGCAAAGTTCATTGTAAACATTCAGCACTTTTTAACATCATTCACTGGCTTTAGCGATCACGAATCCCGTGATGTGATCGACCATACAAATTTATAAGCACAAAGTTGTCTTGCGTAAGGTAACACATACGGGATGTGATCCCCATCAAGATGATTTTGAAATGGATAAGACTTGTAATGGAATGAATAAGTCACCTAGTGACCACCTTACAATCGTTAGCTGTCCTTTCCGTCTCACAAACGTTGCATGCTCCTTTACAGTAAAATAAGACTTGATCTTGTGCTGGTCCATCCGGTTCCGTAATGATCATAGCATGGATAGTGATGTAGAAGGGTCTCCCTGCAGGGACACACAAATCATTAGGTAGGCTACAGTCGTGCGATTTATCGGGATAGGAAGCCGAATAATAGATCTCTTGGTCAATCTCCATAAAGCGTTGATTCTCTGCCCACGTCGGATGCTTCACGTTCTCATGTAAAAACCTTGTCGGATTGATAATCTTTTTTTGCATTACAAGACCTCTACGTTCACAGTCGTTGAGCAATTAGATCTTGCAAAATCTCCAAACCGCGCCACTAGCGCGATGTCGTGACCGCACTGATTTTTATCAGATCGAAGAACTTCAAATCAAGCACCTTCTAGAGAATTAAACGCCGACTTGGCCATCGAGGACGCCAGCCTTTGGCGGATGGAAGTTGTTTTTAATATGAAGTTGGCCTTGCGGAGATCGTGAAGTCTTCAATAACGCGGTTGGTATAGCTAAAGACTACCTAAGAAGGACTGTGTCCACATTAGAGTAGGGACAGGTTTGTCAGCAAAATCAACATGTATCTGAAACGAGACTTTTCTTTATAGCATGCTGTTATTTGTGATAAAGTGAAGATGAAGACTCTGAGAATGTCGATTCTGAAAAAGTGGAAGCGCTATCGTACGAGTCATGATATTTTATCGCTTGGTCTTGCGCGGCTTCCTGGGTGCTACAATTTATAGCTTTACTCATGCACTGCGAGCAGACAGTGATCTTACGCTCAATCACCTCGCCGTCCTGACCGATAAAGTTCAATCGCGGCCGTACTTTACATGAGAAACAAACGTACCAATAGCAGAGCTTGCACGTACTTCTGCTAATGCCAGGGACGTTTCTGCTTTTCCCACACATGACGCATTCTTTTCTCTGCTGACGCTCTTCGTGAACTTTGTAGCCCGCGTGTTGGCGTTGCAGCATCCACGCCAATTTTTTCATCTGTCCGCAACGCACGTAGTTTGTTGCAGTGAGCAAGGTGTTTGCTGCAGCGGCGATAAACAGTAGACGTCGGGCCTTCATACCCGGATCAACAATACAAGACCCAAAACTGTCAATTATGCTGCTGTGAATGTGTCGGAAAAAGGTGACAGACGAGATGTTTCCACGAATAATATTTGGCAACGGCCTGGTCTGCGGAAACTCAATGGAGTGAAGTACATGATAACCAATTCGTTCGCCATTGTCCAGAAGGAGCACATCAGTGGCTTCAATGCACACAAAATCTCGACTTTTTCCAGCTTTTAGCGAAACGTCTATTGCCATCCATTTGACCACCAGAGATCGATACGGCTCTTGCTTACTTGGTTCTACCACGGAACACAAGACAGCTCCAGCGTTAACATCATCAACATATGCAGCTTTAATCCGCATTGCATTCCTGGTCGTATTTAAAATTCCAAACATAAGATCTTCAAGTTCACCTATAAAAGTGCCGACACTCATCATAACTAGCATTTCTTTTTCCACCTCACTTTGTTGACCTGCGTTATTGGGTAATAATCCTTTGCGTGTCTGATGTTCTTGAGAGTGTTCAGTGTACACGTTGAAATTATCCTTGGACTTGACGCGATCCCATCGTCTTTCGTCCACATGGTGTTTATCCGTTACAATAAAATTCTCATATTTCGGAAAATTGGTCTGCACACAGCCACGAACGACGTCGATAAGCTGCTGACGCTGCTCATCGGATACGTTAACGATCGCGTACGGGTTTCGACTTCTTGTGTCTTTAGTCATTGCCGTCGAATGTCTTACTATCTCACGACAAAGAGGAAATTAACAAATGAGACCGTTTGGTTTATTCAAGCTGAATATACAGACATCAATCAGCCTACAAGGACTCTCTGGGTTAAAACGACGAGACGATTAATTTAGACAAGTGTAGAATATAGACAGAGCCATGGTTAAAGAGTGAAAAAGGGAAAGTCGCTAAAATAGGCAGACGTGTACAAATATCACGTTAGACAAGAAAATGTCTTACTAGGCGAAACAGAGCCATATGTACGAGGCTTTAATATTAATATCAGTGCATGATTTATGGTAAAAAAATACCCCGAAATATCAGGATTGTGGAGAAAATGCGAAATCTAATGGGCTCAGTTTTAACGTATGAAATAATACCATGACGGTTTTAGCACTAAAAATAATGGGTCATTTTTACCAGAATCATTTTGGTGGATTTTTGGGCAAAACTTCATATACTCATAATTAATCGATGGCAGATACTCAAACTTGTAAAATTCGGATTTTTAGACAGCGGCCACTTCGTCCTTCCCCACAGAAGAGACTGCATCACTAATACTGAGTCCGAGTCATAATCGATGTTGATGCCGCGCCGACATTTATGGTCTGAATAATCGGTACAAAGCCATAGGATCGCTGCGAACGCTCGGAGAAGCGGCATCAAAAAAGACGTCATCAACAATCAAAGAAAAAGAACGTTAGACGTTGAAGACCTCGAAGGTCACCATGACATAAACGCAACCCGCCCATGCGCTCCTGGCGGTCGTACGACCTCATTGGAGGTCGCATATGGAACCACATCGGTTTTGTTCATGGTCAGACCGGACGCACCGTACAGAAACCTGGAGCCCTGTGAAGTTGCTAGATATTGCGTCGGCTGTGCACGTAGAAATCAGCGACGAGTTCTACGTTCACAAGCCCTCGGTGTTTCGAGTGACTTGAACGACAAGTTCAATGACAGCTCGCAGCCTTCGAGCCGCATCAACTCTGTCCAGCTCGTAGTGACACGAGACAACACATTCGTCAATACATCTATAGGTATTGATGAATGTGTTGTCATGTGTCCCTGCGAGCATCTCCACGTCACGCTGTTGCTATACGTCACTAATTCTTAGCCTATGCCTTATTCAACTTGAGCGTCTTCTAAAGACAGTTTTACTCTACTGCACCAGCGAGTGTGTTTGCACTCTTAGCTACGACCACAACAAAGTTTAACGCAATCAGCGATACCATAGAAGACGGTCATAGTTCTGATTCAACAGCCTGAAATTAGCTTAAACTCATCTATAGCGATAGGTAGTCCGCCCTTCCGCCCTCCCTGGTGCAGTGGTAGACCCAGCAATCACAATTACATCCCCCTTGTGACTTCGGTCTTTGTGACTTCGGTCCTTGTGACTTCGGATATCCACGAGCCTTTCCGACCTCTCAGCAGTACGACTTGCAGTCGGTCTCTCCAGAGTTATCAAACTATTTCGATCCATTAATGACCCGTATAACACCAGGTAGCACACCCTCACCGAGCCACCTGCATACTATTGATTAACGGCAAGGATACATTCTTAACCAAACACAAGTACATACAAAACAAATGGCTTATTCAAACGTAGTTACCAACGTGGCACTTTTTCAGTATAGAAAGGAATGTATGATAGATGATGTTGTCAAGCAGTATACAACGAACTACAAGCTTGGTCAAAATTAGTAAGACGCCTCCGTTTGCAAGCTATTGTACACCTTTGGGTGTCTGCAGCTCAAAGAAGTTGGATTGTCGTTCTCTGTAGCGACGGCAAATTCGTGAGATCTGCACTTTAGCCTCTTAGTCCGTAACAAAAGCACATTTGTTCAACAATCCACTCAATCCATCGTCAAATGGAGTAAAAGAATCCGGCTGCATGGGAGTGGGGTGGTCCGCGCATAATTCTCATTCAGCTCCACGCCGCCTTATGCTGACGTGTGATGCATTTAAAAAAGTCATCCGGGCGACATCGACTTCGATCCTATGGAGTTAATATCCGCTGGCTTCTTGATCGGTTCGTAGAGTAGTACTGCGTACTTGCATAGAGCGAGTCCTAGCCTTGACAGCCTTATGTCGGCCGATTGCATATGTCGACATAGCCGATTTCTCCGTGCGTAATCTTTTTCGTGCGACGAATTTGAAGCGCTGAGTCATAGACGACAATGAAGAGCTGTCATTTTATCGTCAAGGTCCAACAAAATATAAGCATATCATTTGTATCGCCTTCCGACGATGGTAGCTGTTTGACTTGGAAAGGTTACCATAGCTATCAGCTAAGCACTCTAATGGCCGGATGTGCTTTCGTGGCAAAAAGGTGATCTTTGTTTCCGCGATAATTGGCAGGTTTGCAACGGAGTTTGGCATTTTGCGTACGATGTTTGTTGATGTAGCATCCAAGACAGATGCACCCATGATCGTCGTCTTATTCTTTACCAGCCAATCAAGAATCCTCATCTGTTTGCCATACACAATCTTGCTATACGACGTTGTGCAAAGGGTATAGCTACACTATGGTGCATGTCGCCCATTGCGTCATCAAAGCCTTTGGAAAAAACTCAATCTTCCCGGATGAAGCCTGCCTAAAAAGCACACAGATGAAGGCAGTCGCTCGCACAATTCGATACTCGACGAGCTTGTGAATCGGAATCTGCAGCGAATGCACAAAGCGGTAACCGATTTTCTCCCCATATTCGATCCTTAGGAATCCGATGGACTCGAATTCTCGCAGGCGAACGAATTTTCGTAGTAGGAATGGGACAATTATCGATACACTCCACTTGAGATATGTTTCTCGAATTGGTTCCGCTGGGGTGGGCTGAACGATCGTATCCAGGACTTACGCGTCTACGCTTTTGTCCTTGGTGTACGACGATTTGATCTTCATCATCGAAGCATTGGCATTGATCAGTCCGAAGCTCATGTCATTAAATCCACCTTTGATCGTGCCAAGACACTATAAAGCTTGGTAAGAGAAGCCATAACACCTGAGCCAATTCGTTGTTTTTGGGGCAGAGCGAGATGTCCACAGGTCTTGTACGATGTCTTTCCTTCGTAAGCCGTGATAACTTTCCATAGCTCTTCATCCAGCACCTTTCCATCTGTAAAGCGAAAGTTTGTGTATTCATCGAAACCTTCATGAATGGACTGGTGTGAATGCTTATGGAGTTCGATCCGGTCATCTTTGACACAACCAGCGTAGGGAACCTTTCTGCTGGCAATGGAAAACGCCTAAAAGCCAAGCAACCTCGTCCCAACTTTCTAGAATCACAAATGACAGAAATTCCTGGACGACTCAATGCAAGCAAATCGTATACTAACAATATCATTCGTGTTGCTCATTAAACACCCGATAGGTGCATCTTTGGTGGAAGGCAGCTGTCTATTTACCGTTATGGTTTACAAGATTTCTTAAAAGTCTGCCGGTTGACAATAGGGTCTTCCAACATTTACGTTGCTAGACGGAGGTAAAAGCCATTGCTCACATCCCTATCTCTTTGTTGATCCTAGATAGTGACCGCTCGGAGTTGCGACGAAGGCAGCTATCCTGCTTATGGATACTGCGGTTCCGCTGAATCCAGTGCGTAGTTCGTAGACGAAGCAAGCTATTCACCATATTATTTCCAGGCCCCGCCAACGATGTCAGCGCTGTCTGAGAACACGTGCGTGATAGTGGCTCGCAGTCTCGGAGGTAGCTCCGGTGCCAAACGCGATAATGCTGCTTGTTTGTACAAGACCATTTGCTTTTTGCGGATGATACCTCCGGTCGTATCCACTAGGAATATACTGGATATGTAGGAGTCCTACCCTATATATCCTCTGGGACTACGACGGTGCGTCTACCTTCGCGTTGCCCGGCGAAATTGAAGTTGAGACTCACAAAGCTCCGCAACCTCGACACCCTGAGAAGAGGGGCACGGCGACAGCTGTTGTCATTCCCACCTGATTCCTGCTATTCTACGTCAGCCTTTAAGTCGCTAGCCCTGTCCCCGAGCGCGATCCCAGGCGCACGAAGCGAACTTGCCTAGAACGTGACTTGATCGGATGCGTCAGCGGCTCATCGGGAATGATCGGAGTGGTGCCAGGCGCGAAGAGCGTCTAGTACCACTCTATCATTCCGCTCTGGCTGCACCCCGGGCTGGATACCCGATTCCACGTGCTCTTTGTGGAGTGTCCCTGAAGCTTGACGTCTCGAGCCAGGAGACTGAGCCAGCGAGGAGAAGACGGATGTAGTTTGGGTATAAGTATACAGATATCGTGTAGTCATAAGCACTATCTCAATGTTCTGATTTATCATATTATATATATATATATATCGGAGGGAGACCTGTACTAAGTGTTACCTGCGCATCACTTCGAAAATAATGAATCTGCGAATGTTTGCTCATCCACCAGCCGAGATCGTTCACAAATCGCTTAACTACATCCCAATCTTTACGGCGTCTAGAAGCGAGATTTAGTAGATACAACGACTCACAGTCGGAGCCGACCACCAAAGAATAAATACTGACCTGTTGAACGCAGTTCATATAATTTAGGCATACAATTCATTTCACTTCAGCGTGTCGACCTAATTGACGTTGTTTTCGGCGTTCCGTGCCGTTGCATTTAGTAGTAAGCAGACCACTTGCTGTGATCTGCCCACACAGTCTCCTTATCACTTTGTTGACAGGCTTGAGCAGCCAATCAAGCTTCTTCATCTGACTAGAAAACACGCCTTTGCGGTACGGCTTGAGGCCATATATCTACGAGAGGATCTGGCGGAATTCGCTCCAGATCTTGTCGTCCGCGATCTTGTCGGCTTTGTAGGTGGTTTCAATACGCATGGGCCATGTTGCATCTGATTCCGACTGTCATCACTCCGCACCCTAACCGTGAAAAACTAAAGGATTTACACTCTTGCGCAAGGAGTTTTTTGGTTCCCGAGTCGTGATCCAAGTATCTAAGTGAACAGAAGGTTATGCCGCACATACAGTACAAATGTTCGTGTACAAGAAATAATTGTATTATACTTCAGATTATGAAGGATGTATCAACTGTAAAACGCGGCACAGTACGCAGATGGATGGGCATACGGTGAATACATGTATGTTAACAAGGCCATCAGCTTTTACGCGATCAATTCCATCCTCAAGACACCGTCCATATAGGGAAAATTACTTATTGTTATCATCGTATTTATAAAGTCTTGGCAGCAAGTTTTTGACCCGGTCTACAGTAGTCATTAGCATTCAATCCCATGATAAATAAATCTGCAGATTCAACCTGCAGCATCATCTATCCCACGAGACAGTGCCCTGTTGCCAATCGCAAGCTGGAGGAGTGTTTGCAGACGCTTCTATTGGGGCACGAACCGGGCAACCAAGAATCACTGGGCTGCTGACAGGTTAAAGGATGTTCTATCATCCAGGTGTTTAATGAGCTTGAAACTTCTACACAAATCTTTGTAAGTTAAGTAATGCTGTACATTGTTATGACTGGATGTGAGTGTCATCTTTTTTTATTTCCAAGCATGGCATCGAAACTACTGTGCTTCTCTTATGATACCATAGACAGACTGCCGTACAGACGGACTATAAGGCAGTCCGTCAATTGTATCATAAAAGAAGCCATGCAGACCGTCTATAGTATCATAAAAAAAGCTTTACTGTATTCTGAACCGCTCATTCTGACGCGTGCGCGTCATGAACCATGTCTCAGGCATCACACATACAGTGAAGGTTTTGCCTCGTCTCGTTGCTCTAGTCTGGACGTACACACTCGTGCAAAACCGGTGCGAACAAAGCAGCTCGCGAATCAAACGACTAGATATCGGGATGATTTGCATTGTGTTGAGTACATAATACGATCTACGTATACCACAAAAAGGTACCACCGCTACAAGTTCAACTTGAGTTTCCGTCATAAGACGCACATTGTAAATGCCAGTGGAAGCCCATGGACCAATCAAGATTTTTATCACGGCACTGTTTTGTTTGCTCTCTACTTGACCATTTTCCAATTTCTCGTGTAGAAGCAACAATCACTCTCTAGGAACAATCAACAATCATGTTCACTCGCGTTTCCTCTTTCGTTGACACAGTGTGGAGTGGCATTACGAAACCGTCGGATGACGACTACAATATTGTCACCACACCAACTGCAGGCAGAAGCTCTTCTCGCGCTGGTAAAGATTTTGCTGTGTCACTAGCTCTCTTCCAGGCCCTGTGTCTTCTCTTTTTCGCACTCAAATTCAACATGCCCAGCCCCAAAAACAACGATGTCGACACGAAAAGCACTTTAAGCTACTATGGCATGTACATGGACGTCCACGTCATGATCTACATTGGTTTTGGCTTTTTGATGACCTTTCTCCGCAAGTACAGCATGAGTGCAGTTTCGCTCAACTTCCTCATTGCTGTCTTATCCCTTCAATGGGGCATCATCACGGTGACTATGAGTCACCAAATAATGGGAAACCATCACACGACTAAAATCCTCGACATCCCCACGATGATTAACGGTGATTTTGCTGCTGGTGCTGTGCTTATTAGCTTTGGAGCTGTCTTGGGTAAAGCTACACCCACTCAGCTCGTCTGGATGACTTTTTTTGAAATCATCTTTTACTCCATTAACGAGTACATTGTTCTCGAGGAACTAAAAGCGACCGATGCCGGTGGATCTATGGTCATTCACACTTTTGGTGCATTTTTTGGACTAGCAGTGACCATTGCACTTGGCGTTCCGTCTTCTGATGAGCAAGTGCACAACACGTCTCGTTACGACTCGGACGTGTTTGCTATGATCGGTACGCTTTTCCTGTGGATGTACTGGCCGTCATTCAACTCGGCACTTGTCAACGAGGATGGCTTTCAGAAAGAGCGTGCTATCATGACGACTGTCTTCAGTATTGCGGCTTCATGTGCATCGGCCTTTGCTGCGACAAAGGTCTTGAGCTACTCCAAGAAATTTGACATGGTGCACCTACAGAATGCCACGCTAGCAGGTGGTGTTGCGAGTGGTACATGCTGCAACCTTGCCATCAGCCCAGCGGCTGCCATCACTGTAGGCCTAGTGGTTGGTATCGCCTCTGTCGTGGGTTACACCTTTGTGACTCCACGTCTAGAAATGATTATGCGAATGTCCGACACGTGCGGCATCTTAAACTTGCACGCAATGCCAGGTCTTGTGGGCGGATTAGCGGGTGCTCTGATCACTTTTACGGCTTCGGATGACTACTACGGAGATAGTTTGACTGACGTCTATGCAGCTCGTGCTTATCGCTCTGCTACTGCACAAGGCTGGTACCAGCTACTTGCAATCGTGTCTTCGATGGGAATCGGTTCTGTTTCTGGCCTCATCGTTGGATTATTTCTACGATCCTCGTGGTTTCGCCAACACAAACACAAATACGACGACAAGGAGTGGTTCCACATGCCGGAGGTTTGCGAGGTTTAAGGAGCTATTGCTCTTTGACGTGAGCAGTACAAAGTGGGCTGCTTTATATGTGGATTTGCGCGTGATTTTTTGCCCTGCAGATCGCTCTGAGCTTTCGAAAAAATCGCCTAGAACTCTGCCAACAAAGATCATAAGTAGTACAATAAAAGCTTTATTAATATGAATCGCCTTTGTATATCCCACCCATAAGAAAAAACATCGGACATCACACAGCGATGATTTGCAACAAGAAAGTAAGTCCTAGCAAAATAATAAGTCGTAGGACATACATGCATCCGATAAATTGATACTGTTTATGTAATATACTGTAGTCATATTTCAATATACTCTCAGTAGTATATATTTCTTATTCTTCACGTGCAGATTTGGTGGTGCCACAATATTAACAAGCTGAAATTATAAGGTGAAGCACTCCATTTTTACAGTCGCAGCAAACAATCTAGGCTGCTACGGTGCGGGTCGGATAGAGCTCGTCTCCTTTGACATCGCAATATGCTTTAAAATCGTAAGCTGGTCGTCTTTAAATCAAGATCACTACGATAATGAATGGAGAGTGTGGACACTCTAAGATATAGTGGCGTCAGCTCCTTGGAGCCTATCACTGGGCTTGACCATTGTTTAATCAGGATTTACTTTTCCAACATTCAAAAAGCATTTCGACTCTTACACACATGTACGTACACCCAGGAGCATAAGGATGTTTAAGGAACTAACCGGTGGGATCACAGTCCTTGAATCTTGTTTTGTGCTATCAATAAAAAAGCCCTTACTGCTGCAAGTCTGACGTACACATCAGCACGTTTCATCACTGGATTACCACAGTCGGCTTCCAATTACGGGGTTGACTCGATCCTTAACTGAGGCTACGGGCAACGGCCATACTAATGGCAAGTACCGATCTACCCGCACCTATCTCAGTCACCGGCCAGCTCTGACTTATCATTGACACGCAGCTCCGGTTCTGGACAGGATCACGTTCTAGGGAAGTTTGCTTCGTGGGAACAAGCTGACAACTAGGAGGCAAAACGGAGATAGGCAGGAGCTTGTTGATGCCTGTGTGGAGCGCTCGATCCTTTGTCAACGTGCCCCACGCCTCGAAACTTCGTGCCTATTGTTTTCCATCAGGCTTGCACGCTGCGCTGCCTCTTGTGGTGCGCGCAGCGGAAAGAAGGGACCCCCCTTTCGACCTTGGCCCCATGATGGGGAATATCCGCCCAAGGTAAGGGAATTGGTATGCTGCTTTTTGAAGCCTTATACGTTGTTGCTCTTAAGATTACGGCCAGCTTGTAACATCTTCAGCTACATCTGTCGCTAAATTGTTCTATACTTTGTTGTTGTTAAAGAGAAATCTTAGTGCTGTGAGATAGTTTTGGTTTTGCAGTAACCCAGTTACATATCGAATAATTACCTTTATATCATGGAGGTTGAGTTGCTTTGTAAGCTAAACATCGCCAATGCGTCTAAACCGCTGACGAATAAAGCTTCTGAAAATCATTTCTTGAAGGACAAACAGCAAAGGTGCTAATAAGTAGTCGATGTGATATGCGTATATGTAACGTTTTCAACCTCCTGCCACACTCCAAGAAGTTCACCCCAACGCCTGCTCATCGTCGCGCTCAGGGCTGCAAGATAGCAATAGTGGAGCACTTGCGCCGGCCGCCGCGAGTAAAAGTATATCACCGAGAGCCTCCGCGCCGCATGGGCGTTAGGCATTGTATCTTCTGTTCGTGAGACTCATGTCTTCAGAACGTGGCCAGCTGCCTATCGAAAGACGTCAACGACGTCGTTCGACTTCAATATAGTAGTGGCGCGCAGTGTTGTAAGGCAGATAATTGCGCTACGTTTTATAACGGACTAGATTGCAAAAGATTCCTCTCGGGGCACACGTGCGCGACGTGGAAAGGATGATTCAGTAATTCTCTCGTAATTCACCGTGTCTTCTTCTTCAAGGTAATCCCATTAAGATACGCTGCAGTCAAGGGTGCGGCCAACCTTGCTTTATGTAATATCGTGAAACGGGGTTACACGACGGTTTAAGAGCTATTGATGTTTATTCATTCGTCCGTGACGTAATTTTGAATATAATTATCTTACGATTGTGTAACCCTGTTACATACTCGGGCGTCGCTAATGGTACACTTTCGCTTCCTACTTTTGGATGGAAAGGTAGAGTGCTCATTCTTCCTGCCGTTACTATTTGCAATGTAATAGCGAAATCAGTAGATCGAGGGCAGTGGATCCAAGTTCGAAGCCAAATGATATATTCGTCTTGTATTTACGGCCGTGTCTCGGCATTAATGTGCTCCAAAATGGTGTCACAGATTGCCATGTCGATGTCTGGCTGCTACCGGCCGTCTTTTATAAGGCCATGCTGTCAGTGTTTGCTCAACTTGTACTAAGATCGCTCCGAAACAACCGTACTTGAACAAGGAACCGGCAATGCTAAACAGACTTTGAATCTACCAGACATCCTGCAACCAGAAAGGTTAAATAGACCCGTCTTCCCTCTCTCTTTCACGGTTCACCTTGAAGCTTGTGCCTGCTTAATACATAGTTAAAGTACTTCTTTTCCTTGCTTCATTATCAGCCGAATAATTGTTGAGCACGATCTGATTGCAATTCCAATACAAGAAGATATCACGGCTGTTTACGGTGATGCACATCGGTGCACTTCATTTCTAAATCTCTCGCTCGTGACGAAACGTTTCTGTTTAACTCTTACCATGCACATGCGCACATTTCTCGTGCTGACATTGGCCACCTTATCCTTGAGCTGCTTCAATGTTGCAGTGAGGCAAATTTGCTCGATTCCAACTGTTATACAAAGTCTTGATAGGATGGACAGATCTGCTATCCATGAAAAGCTCATGGTTGCTACAAGTAATCTGTCGAATACCTACTCGGGAATGGCATTCGTGAAGATTGCAAGCGCAACTTTTTTTTTGTTAAAAAACCTCAAATGATATTACGAATAGGGGCAATTGGCCCTACGAACGAGCTTCTTAATACCATGCTGCTGTCATATCGACTACGCTCTCTGACTTTCCCGTTATTAGTAATTAAAGGTGGTAGTGAAGACGCCACAAAAGCAAACACCTGATAGTGCACTAGAAGAGCCCATTTCAATCTGGAGCAAAACAAGAACGTGGAATAAAGCGTGTTTGATGCGATCTTTCTCCAACAACATGAATGAGATATTGATAGCCGAGCATTTTTCATTCAGCTCCAATTTTGCTAGATTACTGTACCCAGATAAGATATAATATTCTTTCTGGTCGTGGCATGTATGTTTCTTACAGCTATTACTTATCGATTACATGGAGATGGTGACCAATTTCGTATCCGTAATTCGTCCAGTCGCCGCGGCACCGCCCTTTTGTCACAACATCTCTCTCGTTAAAGATTATAAAAGATTTCGTGGCAGCTTTTGTATGGAAGCCGCCGATTTCTCCACCAACGTAGGAACAGAGAGATAAAAAAGTTTTGCCATCCGTTCATCACGACAGCATATCGATAAATTTGACTCGACGTAGAATGTTTTGTTGTAATGTTTGAAGCTCCTGCTGCTCCGAAATCCGGGGTAGACCCATGTGAAGTGTAACGATCGTCATGCGCCTTCAAAGTGTATCAGATCTCGACTTGCCGGCCTCTTGAAACATAAAAAAGATTGAACCTACAAGGGTGGATGAATCCATTATCTTCTTGTCTTGACCCTTGCACCACCAGCACGCCATTCGTTGCTCATATCATACATAAAGTCCTGGAAGAGGAAAATGAACCCGTATGACTCAGCTTACAAGTGCACTACATTGCAGCGGGACAACAACTTTTGGCAAAAGTTCTGACACCGACAACACCAGCCTGTTGGCAGCAGTGCTGACGATGGATGTACAATAACCGCCTTGTTAATGCATATCCGATTGCTAACCCTTTCACAATCGTGAAACCGGGACGATGTCGGCAATTGCTTCCATGCCGTCAGCAAGCTTACGTTAGGCGAAAATGCATTACAAGTTTCAAGCTTACTAATTAAATCCTCGGCAATTGCGACTGCAGAGAGCAGCAACGTTGTCTGCTTCGGCGATCACTCAGCACCTTCTAGCGCCGCGTGCTGTCGGCTGGAGAATGAACGTCAAGGTTTACTTTACCAGCTGTCAGCTGTTAAGGGCAGGTCCCCCTCTCTTTTCTCTCTTCGATGTTGTGCTTACCTCTTGGTCACTTCTCATTCATCTTATCACTCCACGTTGACGAAAACGTGATATTAGTTAGCGAAAAAACGATACCAAAGTTTGATCGACCTCATGCAGCTTCGATTCCCATTACCGGTAGGGTACTTTGCCAAGTTTGACTTGCTTTCGAATGAAGTGCATCACTATCGGACGCTAGCGAGCGAAATTGTCCGGGAGACAAAGGGAGATTTGGAACACTACGTTAAGGAAGGTCGCAACCTCATCGAAGGACAAACGTGGAAGCTCGCCAAGTCAAAGGAACGTCTGCATTGCTATCGAAAGCGTAATGCTCAAGCTTCGCTCGGGCTTCACGGCAATGCAGGATCTGGATCTGGTGGAGATGACTCGATCAGTGTTCCTTCTCGTTCGCGTCCGTCAGTTAGTAGCACGCGTGCTCGTAGTTATTCTGGTCACGAAAGCGTGGACGGTTTGTCGAACTGGTCCTCAAACGACGGCGAGCTGAGTCGTAAGGGCATGAAACCGACTGTGATCGGCTATGGCATTGTGGACGGCAACATGGACGACTTAGTTTATGGTCTGTACCAGTCGTCGACCGACGAGATGAAGACGCTGGCGGCTTTTCTGGGCGACGATTCGCTGATTGATTGCGCAGTGCTAAACACTATAAGGCAGACACGTTCATCATATCTTGGACTAAAGTGGAAGCTATCTCGTACGGTAGGTGGCAACCGAGACTGCTGTTACATGGATTATATCGGCGTATCGATGGATGCCAACGGCCAGCGCTTTGGATACCACGTCCTGGAGTCTGTCGTCGTTCGCAACTGCCCTCAGTTTGATGACAACTCTATCGTTCGCACCAATGTGTCCTTGTGCTTTATCTTCCGACCAGGAAGATTGTCGGATCAGGTAGAAGTGTTTATGGAAGGCGCCTACGACTCATCGGCTGATGTACTCACGGCTGGAGGTGTAGGCGACTATCGCAGCACGATGGATATGCTGTTTAACCTTCCGTCTGCATTGATAGGAGCCGAGGCGAAGAAGATTTCTGCCATGGTAGCTATTCAGTCTGGAGCTCTGCGTGGCTCGAGCAGCAAGAACCAGAGTGGCAACCACTGCTCTATCTGTCGGGCAAAGTCAAATTTGTTGTTCTCACGCTTTAACTGCCAGACATGCGGCGCAAACGTATGTAGCAGGTGTCGCGTCCGGAAGGTGACGTTCTCTCATCGAGGCAATATTAAGATCTCTTGCTGCAAGATGTGCCTGGTCATGGTCAAGGACCAATCGCCATTTGCCGGCGAACAGCTTGATGAGCAGCCGGCAAAGCCAAAGAAGGTGTTTTGTAAGGATAGCAGCAGTAGAAACGGCAGCACGAGCAGCAATAGCATCAGCCTTGATGAAGTCAATGCCTCCGTCACGACGATGTCCCTCACCGACTCCGAGTTCTCGTTGTCGTCCCAGTCGTGGCAATCCAATTCACTGTCGTCATTGCAGTCGGACCACGACGACAGCTTCTACAGTTCGAATGACCCTAGTGCTGCAATAGTTCCGCTTGATCGCAAGATGCCAGCGCTAATGGAAAGTGAAATGTCACCGCGCGCACCTATGACCTACCAGATCGAGCAGCAGCGGATAAAGCAGAACGCTAACTGGAGTATTCCGAGTCGGCGACAGCCTGCTACCCGCGAGGATCTGTACAATCAAATGCTAGAGCTTCAGATGCAAGCTGAGCGGGCCTACAACCTGACCAACCAGAACGCTAATATGATGAATTCGGGGCGATAGTTTGCTTAAGCAGACGCGTATGATGCAGCAGTGGCTTAAGTCAACAAGAGGTGAAGTTGATGTAACTTTGCAAACATTTGTGGTTTTATAATAGTATGCACGTTTAGTTCAGATGCACATAATTCCTTGACAGAACGCGCATCCAGGAATTGAAACAGGCTCTTGTCGACAAATTTAGCAGAACTTGGTGGCTATTCAAACTTGTTTTGTACCTGTTGCTAGTGATAGGTAAAAGCGGCGCGCACTCCGTATCAGATGCAACTCCATAGTGGCAATCCTGTCGTGTTAAACACATTTGGTTGTTACAAGTTTCCGAATAACCCCTTTGCAAGCTGCGTATACGTGTTTACCTAACATCTTGAGAACAATGGGCTGCTCCAGACGCTGTAAGTCTTTTATTAACTAGGTTCGGGAAGAGAAATTGCAATGCCTTACCCGCGTATGGCTGAAGTGAGTCTCGTGGATGAGAGCGCGTTGTTACGCTAATACCCCACTAGCACAGTTTGTGAAGTCTCTCTGCTTGATAGTCAACATTACTGTCGATCTTAGGGGATATCAACGTTTCTAGTCATTGTCAAGTTCAGTCGCTGGTAATCTTAAAGACATGTGGAATCAAATAGTCAGCCAAGTTTGGCTTTTACTTGACTACCTCAGCGCAACCGGTTCATCATAATGACTCGAAAAGAGTGCTTCGAACTGATAGGGATCTTTAACCTGTGCGTACGAACAGAGTAAGCTCTGTCACGTCGCGTGCGGTTACTTGACAAGGAAATAATGAGAAAACAAACTGGACGGGTTGGCAAATGAACATGGCTTTATGGGTTGTCGCTTCATATGCATGTAGCCTTATGTAACAATACAGGCCCTTAAACATCGATCCGGAAGTTCGAGAATCTGCTGGACCTACGGACGCCTCAAATTAGTGCTTGTAGATTCTACAGTGGGCAGTCGATTTTTACAATACAAGTCTTCGTTCATGAGCTCTCTCCTGCTGCTTGCAAAACGTGACTACTATATCACGGTAACTAGAATGTGCTGCATTTACTACTGCATAGATACGCGCAATGGCTACTATATAAAAATGAGTGAGATGATATTCCTAGTAAAAAATTTGTTTGCAGACTTTATTCCCTCTCCAATTTGATATTTAGCTTACTCCGTCCTTTTACATTGCAAATTGCGTGGTCTCAGACACATCGTCAAGTCCATTAAGGACGAATTATCAGTAGTTTTATTATATTTGCCCTCTCTTGCTCCATCAAATGCATTCTATCGTACGTCATCGTCTATCTTCTACTACGACTTTTCGCTCTTCCTTGCTACTGTGTCGTGTCTCTTCTATCTCTGAGTCTGTATTCAACAAACGTGACGGTTCCAAGGGACAAATTGACAGCGCACGTGCCTTTATTGAGTTTAAACGCGAGGCAGATCCATACCGTAATGTGGTGGAGCGTGTCCACGACTGGAACGAGATCAACACGAGTCATCGTGACCCGACAGAGCGTAAGATTCAAGCAGCCCGTTGTATGGATTGCGGTACTCCCTTTTGTCAGACAAACACGGGCTGTCCCGTATACAATTTAATCCCCGAGTGGAACGAGCTCGTGTTTCGTGATGAATGGAAAGAGGCCATTGACCGACTTCATAAGACTAATAACTTTCCAGAATTTACAGGGCGTGTGTGCCCTGCACCATGCGAGGCTGCGTGCGTTGCTGGACTGGTGGATGATCCAGTTACTATCAAGAATACAGAGTATGCAATTGTAGATCGTGCTTTTGAAGAAGGATGGATTGTTCCCCGTATTCCACGTCGCAATGGTCTTCGAGTGGCAGTCGTGGGGTCCGGTCCTGCTGGTCTTGCAGCCGCTGATCAGCTGAATCAAAAGGGATATTACGTCACAGTCTACGAAAGGGAGGATCGCATTGGTGGTCTCCTTATGTACGGTATTCCTAACATGAAGCTGGAGAAAAAGACGGTTAATCGTCGCGTTGATTTGCTGCGGGAGGAAGGCATTGAGTTTGTCACAAACGCTGAGATTGGAGGCAATATGCCGGTGGAGCAGCTACAAGCTAAAAACGACGCCATCGTGTTGGCCCTGGGCTCTACGGTGCCACGTGATGTCGACATTCCTGGTCGGGATCTCAAGGGCGTTCACTTTGCCATGGAATTCCTTACAAAGAACCAGAAGCGACTGTTGCTGACGGTGGACGGGAAGCTGCAAAGTGGATGGGACCGTGAGTTTGTCACTGCAGAAGGCAGAGATGTTGTGGTCATTGGCGGTGGTGATACGGGGACGGACTGCATTGCTACGTCCATGCGGCAGCGGTGCAAATCGGTGATTAACTTGGAGTACAACCCGCAACCTCCGGTTCAACGTGCCCCAGGGAATCCGTGGCCCGAGTATCCCCGAATTTATGGTGTTGACTATGGCCATGCCGAGGTGCGCTCCGTGTTCGGTGAGGATCCGCGTCAGTATTCTCGTGTCACGAAGTCGTTCAAAGGCAACGACAAGGGTGAGATTACTCACGTGGTCACCGTGCGGGGTGGCAAGGACCCCAAGACGAACACTATCACGGAAATTCCTGGCAGCGAGGAGGACATCCCGTGCGACCTGGTGCTCCTCGCCATGGGGTTCGTGCACCCAGAGCAAAAGATTGCAGAGGCTCTTGGGCTAGAGACCGACCAGCGCCGCAATATTCGTGCTGCGTACGGCGACTTTCAAACGTCAGTGGAAGGCGTGTTTGCTGCTGGCGATTGCCGGCGTGGTCAGTCTTTGGTAGTATGGGCGATAAATGAAGGCCGCGGCGTTGCAGACGCAGTGGAAAAGTATTTTTTGCAGGAAGGGTTTCACCCGGAGGTATCTCAGAACCAGCGCTTCGGTTAGGCAATTATGCGCTACCACAAGAACATTAGATTGGTGTGATTGAGAATGGATGTGCTAGTAAATGAGCTCTCGCTACATTTGGATGATAAGGTCTTCTGCCGCAAAGCTTTGCTATCCCAGTTTCAAGATGTCGATGTTACTTTGTTGTAGCGCACATATAGGGCACACTAGCATGCTAATGTTTAACACCTTGCAGCAAAATTAGTTATGCACTTGCCGTAGCATTAACATATCAGGCTCGTCGAGAGGTCACACTTGCTTTAAGTATGAACACCCGAGCGCATATTTTGCTTGTCTAATGTCCCATACACAAATTGGCCTTTTGTTGCGAATTCGACTGTAAATGACCGTATTACCTGATTAAAAATTAGTTGTAATGTACTTTAATGATTACATCATTTTATAAAAATTATAGGAGCTTAAATGAATAATGGACCGCCGCCTCGGACGCCTTCACTCGCTCTTGCCAGTCAAAGAACCAGCTCAATCTCTTTAGACTCTGAAGCTGCACAATGGTCTCATGTAGGCCACCATCGTACCAGCATTCCTCCCGAAGTGACGTTCGATGAGCAGGATTCGCAGATCAAGCAGGATCTACTGGTTATTATCACCCAATACTTACAACAGGAAGGATTTACCATGTCTAGTGCCACAATCCAAGACGAAGCAAATGTAAAACGTCAAGGCAGATTACAAGAACGAGATGTTCTACGACGTTTAAGTGTTGCGATACTGGATGGAGACTGGGATCTTGTGGCTAAATTACTGGGTAAACACTTGAAAAAGTTTCATGCCGCTCACCAGGGCTTCCTCTACGCCGTATGCAAACAGGAATACTTGGAACTTATTGACCGCCAAGAGTATCAAAAAGCCTTTACGTTTCTTACGACGCACCTCAAGCCATTGGAAAAAGTAGCGGTCGCTTCGAGCTCCAGTCGCCATGAATTTAAAGAGCTCTGCTACTTGCTCACGTGCAAAGCTGTAGGCGAATCGAGCGCTTTTCGGAATTGGGAAGGTGTCGTCAGATCGAGAGAAAAACTGGTAGAGCAGCTGAGAGCCACTTTTGCTTTGGAAGAGGTCATCTCACCCCAACAGGATGGAGATACAGCCATGACAACACCGCCAGCGGCACTGCCGGATAACCGACTTGTACAATTGCTACACCAAAGTGTGGCATATCAGATGGAGTTTAGCCGATATCATCCAAAAACAATTCCCAAGGTTTCGACGCTGTTGAGAGACTTTGAGTGTGAAGTGTTGCCGAATGCTGTAAAAAGCACCTACGTCGGGCACTCGCAAAACGTTAAGTTCGTCACGTTCGTGGGAACGGATGGGGAACTGCTGGCTTCAGGTTCCAGTGATGCCACAATCAAGCTCTGGCCTACCGAACTGTCGGATGCACTACAAGAGAGCGGCGAGAAAGAGGTGGACAAAACTGCGGGCACTGTTTGTCGACAATGGACTCGAAATTTGCTCGGTCACTCATCCAGAATTTGGTATCTTGCGGCGAGTACATCAGGAGAGCGTCTGTACTCAGGCTCGGGTGATGGCACAGTGAAGATCTGGGACTTGCGAGCTGCGCTAGCGGAGCGCGCTGTTGCCCAGGATGTTCAAAGTGACTCAAATGATTTCCTGAATGCACAACGCGGGCCCAATATCATGCAGTCTGCAGTTGAAGCTGCTGCAGCTGCGTCCTCAGGAGGAAAATTCGCGATTGCAGCTGCCTCGAGGCTGCCTCACACTTACTCGGTGACATCAGCCGAGTGTCTGGCAACGCTCGCGAGTCCAAATGGTGGGGATGTGTACACGGTAAACTTGCACCCTAGCGAGACGCACTTGGTGACTGGGGGCTACGATCAAAGTGTCCGTTTGTGGGATATTGCCACTGGCGCTGTGGCGAAGGCGTTCCGTGGTCACTTCGCATCTGTGTGCGATGTTCAATTTAATAGGCATGCCAACTTCATCGTAAGCGGATCAAAAGATGGTACGATTCGGTTGTGGGATATTCTTAGTGGGCTATGCGTCCACACGTTGCGTCAGACGTTAGGTGAGGTCACCTCCATCTCAATGGCTTCCAACGGTTACACATTGCTGAGCGGCTCACGAAACAATAGCAACCGTCTGTGGGACTTACGTATGCTTCATACTCCACGTGCTCACCTGACGACTGGACTAGGTAGTGCGGCGTCCAGCGGTGGATCTAGCGGATCACTCGGTAGTTGCTCCATGGGAATTAATGGAGCTATCGTCAACGGTCACGGGTCAGGTTACTCTGCAGCCACTGGCGTTGGCATGTCAGGAATTAGTGCCATAAGCAGCAGCGGCAACCTTGGCACAAGCGGAAATACCAGCAGTGGAAGCAGTACTTTTTTGGGGAGTCGTCACGTAGAGCAACGACCACTACAGCGCTTTAAGGGCCACCAAAACACTGCCAAAAACATAGTGCGGGCATCGTTTGGTCCGCGTGAAAGTTTCGTGCTGGGCGGGTCCGAGGACGGCTATGTATACGTTTGGGAGGTGGCGACCGGAAAATTGCTGGAGCGGCTCGCAGGCCACCATGGCGTGACCTATAATGCCCGGTGGCACGAGAAGCAAGCACTGCTTGCTTCAAGCTCACACGACGGCACCATAAAGACATGGTGGTGGCAAGACGAAACAAGCCAGCTGTAAGTAGTTGGGTAGTAAATCGATTTTTCAAATTCAGCAGGCTTCAGCACGTGGTATGATTGCATCGTTCACATTGGCTTCCGGAAGAATCCTAATCCTTCTTCTAATTACCGGGAAGAGACAAACAACATCTTAGCAACCTGCTTGCACTTCTTCTCTTCGTCTTTACCGGCCGCAACTCCACGGAAAAGCTCTTTCTCAAACAGGTACTCGATGAGCTGCTGACTAAGTGCTTTATAGGCATTGAAGTCTTTCGTACGAATCATGCGATGGCTTGATAGCGTTTGTGCATCGACTCTTTGGCTGTGTCGAGCGCCTCCTTTGATAATAATTGAACGTGCGAGAGAGAACTTGATACAAGCGACACGTTCTTTTCCGCCGCAATCGTTGCCGCTACTGTTTTGCCGCTATTGTTTTGCGTATGGTGATTAGGCTCAGTTCTTGCTTCGTGTTTTTCTGTGGCAGACACGCACCACCGAGTATGTCAAAGTGCTGTGTCCAAGCACTAACCGGCGCAACTTCTTGATTTTTCAAATGAAGACACCTCTGTCTTTAATAAACTGTCAAGAAGATACCGATTTGTTGTGAGTTCCGTGCTCTTGTACAACTATATGCGCAAGTTCGCTTCGAAGTCGTCAAGTTTGATGCCGATGACTTCGGGCTGCACTTGAGCTCAGCAAGTGCGCTTACCAGAACGAAGGTGGCGTCCGCTTGTACTTACGAAGTTGCCGTCGTAAAATGCAGGCAGAAACACAAAGCGTATGGTTTGTGTGTCTGCGCGCGATTCAGAAGATAGCCAAGACGTTTTACCTTGCACTCAATTCTCGTAATTCACTCAGGGGTAGATCTATGCAGATGTCTGAGCCAGCAGATAAGCGTCTTTTCACCCAAGCACGTAGACAAACTCTCCATCGCTTCTTTTTAGCACTGCCAAGTATCCAGCTTCACCATTCGCCTTCCTATTTGCTTTGTGTTTGTGGCTTGATAAAATATTTGGACAACTTGATCTCACCACTTGTTTGCTCCTTAAGCACTCCGCCATTCTCTTGACCTCTAGATTTTCTGTACCCACGTACGAGAGGTAAAACGTTCGTCGTGTCCTCTGCCATTTATTTGCAATGCAAGATGCCGCGAGGCAGCCACTGTCTGGCATAAGCCGACTTCATATACACTGCGTTGTCCTGTCTCTCTGGTCTGCCTACTTTATTGTCGTGTACAAGCTTCAGTCCCAGTAGAAGTTCTAACAGTTCGAGACAATCTTGCACCAGAAAATACTGGACAATTTACTCACCCGTGCTTGTAAAACACGCTCGACCTAGAGCAACATCCTCCTTAACAATCTTAGACTCGTCATGTACGGTAAGCAGACCCAAGTAGCAAGGCTACATTGCAATTCATACACGGTCTCTGTGCCAATCATACTCGATCCTCCTCCGCCTACATTTCTCATTAGCGTCAGAATTATCGACTGAACAGGAAGGTAGTAAGGTGACCGATAAAACCGATCGGTGCTTGCATCAAAACGGACATGGCGATTACAAAGATACCAGCTCTGTTTACATGGTGGTTTTATACTGGATGAACGAGGTGCTGGGCGACGGCACTACTCGCTATAAATGCGGTTCTAGCAGCACGAGCTACGAATAGCGAACGGGTCGTGAACTATCTACCTTTTATTCGGGATAATTATTTTATAAAAATACTGAATAAATAAACTAAAGGTTTTGTAGCGTTATATTCGACAATATTATCTTTAAATGAAATTGTCCTACTGTAGCATTTAAAGATACCCTCTACTTGGTCTGATTTAGGCTATGATATCAGCCAGCGCGCTGAAGACGGACGCGCGCAGTGAGTGGAGGGCACTTAGTTAACATACCTATTTGTACTATAATAGAGTTAATGTGACGTTTCAACATATTAGTTATTACATAGCTTAGGTATGTTAAATATAGCTCCCTTTTACTCTACAACTAAGCGTGTGCGTTTAGTTGTTCAGCATCCTTTGTCTCTGTGTACAAAAGGTTTCGACGCATCTGCCTACACTATATAAGTGTACGTAAATCATACAATAGAAGTATAATCGGAGGATGTCCCGTAATACCTGGTAGCACTTCGTGGTCGTTCAACGACAAACGATCCATCCGCTATGACTATCATTAGCATCGCGTGGTAAATTTCTGCATTTTGAGTGACTTCGATAGACAGTTGATATGGCTAAAGCCATCGGCAGTGCCGCAGTCGACGAAGCGTTGTAAAGCTCCACCATGCTACAGCAGCAAGGCTCACCTGTTGCAATAACAGCAAGCAAGTGCTGTTCATGTTAAGCCGACGTATATGTGTCGACTTGAATCCTTACATATTGAACGATTCAAAGGATATGTTCCATGAATCTGTTCCGTGCGAGCTATCGAAGGACATGGGTACTCGACACGAGATCGACCTAGTTCCAGGCACGAAGTATTGTGTCATGATGCAGTGGCCACTGCCTCGGGAACAGGTCGAGGCGATCGACAAGTTCTTTGCCGATCGCCTAGCTGCGGGCCATCTGAGTGATTCAACTTCACCTCACAGCTCTCCGACCTTCTATGTGCGCAAGGCCACAGGAGGGTGGCGGATAGTACACGCGTGTAACAAGTGAGTGCTGCAACAATGCCGTCGCAAGCACCGAAACCGAGAAAGGACGTAATCATAGATGGTATGTCTAAGAGTAACATCTTTTCGTCCATTGATCTGATGGTAGGTTTTTATCAGATACTAATGCGTGAACGGGACAGCAGTAGTCACTCCCAGTGGTATGCTTTGGGAATGGTTAGTAATGTTATAAGGGCTAAGTAATGCACCAGCTACATTCAATACACCTATCGAGACCGGTGCGCGATTGTGCACCGACTTACTTCGGCGTGATCTTTTGCGCCTGATTCAGTACCTCAAGGAACCATCCGAAGTAGTTAAGAAGCGCTTGCCTTTCATTTATATTCGTTCGTAAACGAGAAGTGTAAATCCTTGATCCACAAAAGGACGAGGCGATTACTGACTGGTCTGTGCCAGTCGAAGTCAAGGAACTAAGGAAGAGATTGGCTAGCGGCGAACTCACTCAAGTAATCGCACAACTACGTTGAGTTGCCCACGACCAAATGTACTTGTTCACGGCTTTTACAAGCACGACCGCTCTTATTCCTTTAAACGTATTATGCAGGGCTTTATGCAATTGCCGGTGTTGACGGTTGCAGGTAAAGACCGATTATTCAAGGTGGTCTGTGATGCAAGCGATTTTGCAATTGGCTATCAACTGCTGCAGTATGACACAGATGACGCTGACCATGTCGTCTGTTATTAATTGCGTCAGCTACAAGCAGCTACGCGTAACTATTTCAGTGCAAGTGCATGATGTGAAAATCCTTGCCATGAAATATGCAGCTGCTTTTTTCGCGTCTATCTCTTAGACGATGGAGCGTTTTTTTGTTTATAGACAATGCGTGGCTGTAAACAGTTCAAATATCTCGCAACCCATGGCGAGATGGCTGTCGTTCTTCGACCGTATGTATCAATTCTGTTCTAATATAACTCCGGGCCGTTCAACGTCGTCGCCGAAGCGCTCTCACGTCGGCCCGACTTTGAAACGACTATGTAGTCCGACAGCGAGGTATACATATGTTGAGTCGATCAAAAGATATAGTTTTACAAGCGGTGTGTAGGCTTCGAACGTCATGTATTGCGACTTTCATATTACTTTGCATTGTGGAGAAACAAACCGATTACTTGTATAAGGGTGGAAATGGCATATGTTGTTTGTTGATATATTTGATAGTCAGTTATTCTATCTGCATCATGGGCGACAGTAATTACAAGGTTATAGATTAAAAGATATGTATGCCTCGACCTTTATAGCTGGTAATGAATCCTCAATTACCGCGTATTGTTTCAATTCTTGTAAGTGTAGATCCGCATAGGCATAGCAGTGATGGCAACAAAGGCCGCGTTCGTAGCTGTCCCAGAGTTGTAGAGGCGCTTGTTGCGGTGGAGCCATAGAGAATGAAGCACACAGCAACGAACAATATTGAGTATAATCAGTATTGAGCGAATGCCGAATAGTTGTAAAGTGGACGGAAGAAGTGGAAGCGATGATAGGAATAGTATATGTGACCAAGTAATGGCACCATTCACCCAACTTTGTAAAGGTAGTAAGTAGTACTCCCACTGAATAGAAGCAACCGGTCATAAAAATAAGGGTAGAGCATTCTCGTCATCACCGCAATCGTAAATACAAGCGAAAAAAGTAGGGTTCTCCAACAAAATTTGTAGCGAAAACCCAACGCATTGTGCAGAAGACGAAATTTAATATCCGCAGCGATCGGTAAAAACGTAGCGAATCAAGCTATATTCGGTATTTCACATGACGTCTGACGGTGTAAAAGCAGCTATAGCGAGGTGTTGTAAGGGAAGCAAATGAACTTTGGATGCTTTGCGAGCACGAAGAAGAAAAAATACAAAGTCTTGATTCTTCATATCAGTCACCAACGTGTCGTCTAACTTTCAGCCATGTCTCGCTGATTTAACCCCAGCCAAAAACGTAGGCCGAAGCACGGAGATACTTATGGCACGAGCAAGTTGATTCGCGAAATTACTTGCTTAGAAAATAGCGTCTTCGAAGCGAGTCGGGAAAATTGTCGGCGTTTAAAAGCGTATTTAATGATGAAGAAGTAGCGGAAGAAGTCGACATATCCACAAAGTCTTACAGTCTGCAAAGTCCATGTGCCTGCAGCAAACCATTGTTCGTCGAAAGCGTGGTCAAGATGCGTTAAGTACTGCTTAACAAAAGATATAAAATATTGTTCCAGAAGGCGCGGTCTAAGCGAAAAGTTTTCAGTCAGTAGTTCCTCGCGCTATATAAAGATCTGTCCATAAGTAAAGAGTGAAAACATGGATTTTGGAAGAAAGTTCCAGCTTTAGTTGCCTTTGACCACGGCATATAGTATATCGAATCTAGTGCCTTGCTGACCAAATGCAAACAAAACGAGAAAAAGTGCCGGTGTCATCCACCGCGGTGCTACGCAATTGATGCAAGTGGGAGATATAGCGTCGCCCAACGACTTGAGATGTATGGCCTGAATAAATTCTTTAACCGGCGTAGAAGACCGCCGTGATTTAAAGCCGCGTATATCTTATCTTTATCAAACTTGCCGGGGTCAGCAGAGTCGTGATTTATGTCCTTGTCAATGAAGGATAATCATCACCACGCTTCGTAGCGTCGAAGCTGTTGAACAGGTGACATTTGCAGAGTACCACATCAGGAGCAAGAGAATATTCTGCAAGAGCGATGAGTGTAAATAATTTTAAAATATTATCTTTTTTCAGCTTTTTCAAAGATTTGGATATAAAAATCATTTTTTATCAAATTTATATCTCTTTCGCAGTATTTGTCACACCAAGAACCTTAAAATTGCAATTCGTTGCGAGGACGTCATTAATTGGCTCAACTAAGGTGCAAGTACGACAATCATTCATGTCGCGAAGTTCCAACCATTTTCACTTCCAATAAATGCAGTCCGCGCGCTTGTGTTCATAAAGTGAACAATTGGGGTATGCACCGGGAAACAACTTGTTACGTTGCCGAGGTCGCCAATAGAGGCAATCAAACAGGCTGAAATGTAAGGATCGCTGTGAAGCGAAGCGGGACAATGCCACGGTAATCGTTTACCGCGAGGCACCGACAACGATTGAAGTCCAGATTATACCGACACGTGATCTTCATTATGCCACTCGTGTCGGTAGAATCTGAACGTGACCTTCATTATGCCACTTCCATTACGGACGTGACATCCTTTATTCAGATTGTCTTGCACCAGGCCAATTCTACAAAAACAGTAACCCAAGCAATTTTTACGCTTGGTAATGATATAAATTCGAGAATCCATAGTCAGAAACTGCCACGATTATAGCAAACCGATAGAATATAACCACGAACAGAAATCGCCACGTCCAGTGCCGGGATGGTGAAGCCCAGGAAGGTTTTTGTCCAATAGTTGTCTAAGGTAACATTGAAATCACCTACAGCAATGTTTGTGGTAGCACAGTCCACATCGCCATCGTCACAAGCTCTCGGCAGCGGACGAAATAATTTGCTGCGTTCCGAAGGAGATTAGCCACGTGAATGAAGACTGGCACATCGTTCAGCACAGCGCGGAGAAACAAGTAGCGGTTCATGAGCTGCAGGGTGCAAATAATTGAAGTTGTATCTTAAACGTCCCGAAAAGGCGCAGTAGAAGAGAGGATAGTCGAGCTACATCCCGTTTAATAAAAATAGACAAGCAGTGGCGGAATAAAAACAGCGCGCGCCAAAAACCACCGCGAAAAGAAAGTGCTTGTTGGTCTAAAAAGAGTTGAGTTATACAAATTTGGTTTCTTGAAACGCGACCAGTTGATATTCGGAAGGAAGTCGCTATTACAGCGCCATTGGCGGATAATCTAAATCTAGAATTATGTTTGCCATTTTTTCAAACATAACTCTTCGACAATTAATACAATATGTTCTTATGTTAAATGACCGAATTAATTATAATGTATGAGTAAACAATTTTATTATAAAAGGTTTATATTTATATTTAATAATATAAATAATATATGCAACAAATTAAGAAAATTTAATAAAACATATACTTAAATAAAACAAATTAAGCAAAATTTACAATAAAAATAGCTTTGAAGAATTTTCAAAAAGTTGTTTCCAAGTATTTTCTTTCTTTATTAAAGTTACTAATCTCGTTAAGGCTATCAATAGTATAATACCTGATACCAAAAAAAGAACAACAAGTATTTTGAATATAGATAAAAAAAATTAAAAGCATTAACATAATATGATGTAACCAAATAGATGATATGTATAAAAGTATGGATAAAAGGTAAATTTGCGTTTATATATTCAACCATAAATTGGTGGTATCGTTTTAAGGTTATTTTTAAGAAAATTAGAATGTATGACAAGAACTATTGAACAATGTATAATTTTTAATAAAATCCAAAAATATAACCATACATATACATTGCACCTCCAAATGGTATAAAATAATCTAAATGAAATATTTAAAAGGCCAAGGACTCAAATTGATGTTAAGCGAGATGCCAGTGAAGTCCAGGCTGCCTAAGAGGTGAGCAGGGACAACTTGGCTAGACGCGGTCGTAACCGCAATTTTTTTGGTATTCTTCAGGCTTTGATTGCGAGACGAATATCGTCAGGGGTGCGTGGGTTCTTAAAAATTGCCATCACATCCGTGCGAGTGACATAGCGCAGTTGCATTACTCCAAAGCAATAACGGCGTGTTGTGTAGCCGTTTGCACGCAAAACGATCCGGAAGGAACATGGCAAACTTCACAGGATCGATATAAACTTTAGGTGCAAAAATCATGAGAAGTATGTCGCACGTTAATTAAGATAGTGCTGCCCGAAAAACTTTAACATCAGGGAAAACATAGTCGAAAAGTTGATCCATTAAAGCACTAGGCGCATCAAACCTGTCTTGAAGATACGACAAAACATCCGAGTAGCCATCAGGAAGTGTAACACCACGGGTTGCGCGATATGCCACGTGGGTGCGGTAGGTGTAATCCAACCAGTTGTCAGGCAACTTTTACATATGCCGAAGATACCCAGGCTGAACTTCGATCGCCGCCACCCCAATACTGACGATAGCATCGTCGCAGGGTCTCGTGACCCAGTCCGGAGGGCGTGTTCACAGAATTAATCTTGAGGCGTACATCCGCCGCAGCAGGAGCTCGAATGAAATGTTTTGATAAATTGTTCTCCCATAGCAACGTCTAGATCATTCTTGGAGACCAGATTTTGTTCGCGAAGTGCTTTCGAAAAATCCAAATAATGCTGACGAGATCAGTCACGCGAAATCGATTGAAGTTGCTAGCATCCAGCGCAAAGGATTAGGCGCTCTCACGTGAAACAGTGTGAAGGAGACGAAGCTGAGCAGCTTTCGCTCCCATTCGCCGTTGGTATTCTTGGCTTAATTAAATGCGGTCGCGGCGCTTATGTATATTCAGCAGAAAATCAGAATTGCGATTTGGATCGATGGAGGCTGCAAGATGTGGAAGGCTGAGGCAAAAATGGTCTTGGCCAGCCTCATCTTTGAGAAGCCAAGGTGGGCACTTGAATGGCAGCGAGGCAGTAGTTGGAGTGTCGGCAGACGAGGCTGAGAATTTTACAGGGATATGGCCCGCTTTCCTGAAGCTAGAGCCAAGCAAGTGATGGGATGAGCGAATGTACGTATCGTAAACGTCGACTGAAGCGAGGCAATCGTCAATTCAATTCTTGGACTAGGGCCCCCTAAATTCGCGCACGTCCGGGTGCTGGAGGCGCCAAAAGTCGGTTAGCCCAAGACTGATCATTCAGTCAAAAAGCTCAGCACTGCCAGAGTCATGGAAAGTCGCGCTTGGAGTAGCTTGGTCCATAGACTTATCCATAGTCATATTAAGATCTCTCGGTACAATATGTACAAAGAGTCGTCTAAATGTCGAGGTAACGCTGAAAAAGAAGATGGGACTGTCTTTTGGGCAGACTGGTCCGTAAACCACGTTTAATTAAATTTGTAGGTGCCCAAGAGTGGCAGACACACACAAATAGCGGTGGCACAAAACGCTGTTGTCGCCGAGTCGACAGGTTTAGTGTGCAAATCTTGAAAAGGGTGCGCTCCATTAAATAAAAGAGCAACACCATTTCGAGCCATAAACACGGGTAGCAGAATTTGACCAAGACGGGGCCGCATTAGCGTCCGCGGTATGCAAAAAAATCATTATTCACCAGCACTTGATGACTGGAGAGGCGTGTTTCTTGAAGAGCTACAAGCTAGTAACGAGAAAGTAAATCCTGGTAGAATGGAAGGCGTGGCTTGTTGTGCCCGTTCACATTGAGTAAAACCGCCTTAAAGGTCCACGCCTCCTGCCTAGAAGTGAAGACGAGGCGTCATCAATCCAGTCTGGGAGGGAGGCAGGGCTTGCAAAGCCAGTGCTAGGGACTTAAGAAAGCCAGAAGCGTGGTCGTACTGAAGAAGCTCCATAGCAAAAGAGCTAAAACCAAGACGCCACAAGGTTTCATCCGTTAACAATGGAGTTGCGAGATTTACAAAGAATCAGGGAGAGTCATCCAGCGGGACAAACAGCTCAAGCGCATCGTGGTAAACAGTGGGAGGCATGATGTGTACAACCACATCCCACTTAGAAAGTACCAACAACGCAGGTTTAGAAGATGCATCCGGGGAACGGCGGAGCAACTTTTTCAGGATGGATATGCCTCGACCTGATGTTTCCAAAAGGCGCAGACAAGCCAAGTATTCCGTATGCTGTGATGGAGGTGTAGATGCTAGAAGGCGGCAAGAAGCGCGAGTAACCGCGAGCTTGTCCAAGACGCTGGGGTCTCAAGCGCTTTTGATAGTAAGCCAGGATTGACTTCAATGGAAGCAAGTTGTTCCATCGGACAACTTATAGATACATTGGACAAGAATTTGTCAATGTAAATGAACAGGTCCGTCCTTTCCATCACCTCTACGTCGTACACAGCAGTGGCTGGTTGAATACGGTGTTGATAATCTTCATGATTGGGACGGAGAGGGGTGCTTTCGACGCAAGCTTCAGCGTCTTCAGCGTGGCGGATCTCCAGATCATAATGCCACTTAGAGTGATCTGTGTCAGGATCATCCAACCATAATGTGCTGTAGTAGTTTAGCTTGACTAAGTCAGTAGCGTGAGCAACCCCGGTAGCTTGGTCAAAGTCGAAAGAAAGTGGATGTGTCTCAAACAATTTTGTACCGGCTTTACCAAGTAAGGCCAGACGGTTCTTGGACGCCTTGGCCCATATAGGAGCCGTTGAAGGGAAAGTAGAAGCGTTAATTTGCTCCTTCAGAAATTGCTCCAGTTCTTGCTGAGAGGAAACAGAGTCAGCGTCGCTATCATCAAAGTCGAGAGCGGGTGGAACGTCGTCGACGGGCATATCTTGAACCACCTCGTCTCCCAATCCAGCGGGCAACATCCCAGGATGGAGCGGGGATAGCCTGACGGATAGACGACTCGTAGTGCGACTGCCAATCCCCAGATTGTGATCCTGGGGAAGGATTTGTTACGGTCGAGGACGGGGCAGCCGGTGGCGTGGCGCGTGACGCCTGCCGCTGGCGAATTGATGGTGGTGTAACGCGGTTGTACCGATCAACCTTGTGATTAATAAAACACGGAAACAAGGTGACCATCCCATCATCAGGCGATGGGAAATGAATTTCCCGAAGAGGCGCGGATGGGGTCGGGACCAAAACATCCGGGGCAGTGTTTTGGGCAAAATAAACCGTGCGGTCGCGAGAAGGCAAGCCGTTGCGAACATAGGTAGGCAGGACGCACGTAGGAGGGACGTCGTGAGATGCGAACCCGTCGAAGATCATGCGGTCAGTAACCTCGGCTGGGAGGCGGACCAGATCCACGTAGTAACGCGAGCCATATTTAGAAAAACTAGCGATCTGAATTGTGGTTTTAAACGCTGTTAAGGAAAGTTGGCTTAATTTGATGTCATGTCATATGAGACACACGTAAAACGAATACCCGCGTTGGGTATGATGAGAAAGTCTTGAAGGAGACGGGCTTGGCGCGCGTCTTTCCACACTTGAGGTTGCGAGTCCGTTGCCAATTCGTCAAGCAAATCCGACAGATGTTTCTTGCGAACCGTCGTCGGACAAGGAATCCACATCTGGTGGAGGTCCGAGGGCGCAGCTGGCGAGGGTGCCAGCTTGAGGGCATTTGCACGAAGGGCATCATAATTGGCCGAGGCCAACTCGGCCTCGCTCGCTGCGAGGAGCGAATCAGTAGGGACCTGGCGTGGGCGAGCCACGCGCGTGGTCGTAGGGGGTGCACGAGGAATCTTTTCCACTCTTGAATAAATGCAATTGTAGGGGGGGATAAGGGCCCTTCTTTTTTTGAATATATATCCTCTGTCTGTTCTTTTTTTTTCTTTTTAAAGGGTGGTAGGATTTGTGAGATCGGATAGGCTAGGAAGAGTTGCCTACGATGCTAACGGAAGCTACGCGGATGACTGACTGCGGTAAGGTGCAAACTTGAGCTTAGAGGGCTTGAGCGCCAAAAAGATAAGAGAGTCTTAACCGTAAGCCACGCAACGCTGAATGTACCTAAATACACGGCGTGTTGCGGCTGCAGTCCTAAACCGAGAGCTTCAGACCCGTAAACCGCTTGAACGGGGGTTCTTACGTCCTCTCAATCAAGTGCGATTTGCAAAAGATGTCAGGAAAGGGATATGAAAATTCAGGAAAAGGCGCGATAGACAACCGAGGACCGAGGCGGCGCGGCAAATGTGAACTCGAGGTGAAGGGAAACGGCAGAGACCGCGAAGTCTAAGCCGAGCGTGAAGCGTAGAGTCGACGAGGTAGACAACTGGCGAGACGAACGGGTCGACGAGGCCAGAGTGAACAGCGAAGAGTGCGCAAGGGGGACGACGAACAAACAGGGCTTGAACGATGTCGCAAGGGAGGGCCTTTTACTGTCACTTGGGCAGGAGAATGCAAATTGAGAACTGGAGGGCAAGTCTGGTTAAATTGGGTGTTTATTATTTGGTATTAACTACGCTAGGAGAGGTCGGTAGGATTCGTTCTCACAGGCCATGCATTTTGGGGGTGCATGTCACTTGCCGAACACATGAACTGTGAGAGGTGATTAACTTCGCATGGAGAGGTCGGTAGTGCTCTCTGATACCCCCCCAGGGGTATCGGAAAGTCTTATAAAACAAATATTAAATCAAAATTATTTACCTTTAAATAATTCAATTGTTCAACCTTTTTTAAATTTTATCTATTATTTAAGAAAGATTGAACCGGCGATTATAACTTAAAGGTAGAGTGTTAGATTGTGGGTCTAAGTGTTATGGGTTCAAGTCCCATTTTTCGCCCATCAATTATTTACGCTTCATTAACTGCTCTAAGGCAAACTGATTTAGAACGTATTATAGCTTATGCATCAGTTGCTCATATGATTTTTATTATTTTAGGTAATTTTTCTGTTTTTAATCAAAAGGTAAATACTTTATTTTTAGCTGGAATGAAGTCCAAATATATCAATTTTGTATTTTAATTATTTTATAGGGGCTATGGGTAAAATTATCAAAAACTGTTTTTCAATCAAAAAAATAAAAAAAATATTTTAAATTTAAACTAAAAAAGTAATATAAACCATGAAACTTGATTAAAAAATGAAAATTGATCGAATTATGGCATATCTTAAAAAATTTATTTATTCAATATATATTTTTCTTGAAAGAAACCTTTTATTTTATTATTATCTTTTAATTTTTAAATTTTTTGGAATAGTTTGAATAGAGAACAATTTAGAAATTCAATGGAACATCATTAGAATCATTCTGCTCGGTATCAAATCCCATGAATGAACAGTTGAAAAATATGAGTATTTTTTTGACTTGATAATAATGATTCATAATCATTTTCAAGACCGATAAATTCTCTTGCGCTTGCGGGAATCGAACCAATGACCGCTGGGTCATCAGGTCAATGCTTAGCCACTGCACCAGGGGGTACTGATGGACCCAATTCGCCTGATCAAGACATTATACTATGAGACAGGTCGCAAGACCCCCCTCGTTCAGTTCGCTCTTTTGTGAAATGGGTGAACTTCCAGAAAGGATTTTCAATTCTTTGGTTTACCAAGGCTCGGTAGAAGAGCTAACGCTCAAGGAACTGTGTGCGGTGATCGACAAATTTGTTTCAACCTTTGATTTAACTCACGATCCGGACTCAGTAATGACGACGGTAGAAGCCCAATTAAGCCTTTTTCGTGTTCTTCTCGATACTAAGGCGGAGGGCAATTTTCACCATCTGCGGGCCAAGGTTTTTGGTCACGCAGTGCTTCGTGTTGCTGCAACTAGAGATTACCTATCTTCGGATGTTGGATCTCTTATGCAATGGCTGGGAAAACTATACTTAGACAAGCCAGACTTCGATTTTCAGTCAGTACTCAGCCAGCTTTGACCAGATCACGATCAATACTGGAGCCAAGTAGAATTGGCTGAATTTGATCTCGCGATTCAAATAGTTGCTCCCAGTGTGTATATGGATCCCCTAAAATTGGGTACTTTACTTGGGAAGGCAGCATCAGCATTACCCCATCCACTTTGGCTGTTGTGGGACGACTCGACTTTGGCTTCTCTAGTTTTCTCTCCACTTTTGGAGCGTATTTAGGGTGCCGCGATACCTTTCGACCTTCGCGACACAATTTTCTTCCTTCGGGAAAGGGCTACTACAGTGGCACCCCAAGTTTCGCCTTCTCTCTTAGGAAGTTTGGGCCCTTCGGGGATACTCGATTAACGCGAATGGTTTTAATACCGTAACGCAAGCAACACTCAACTACTTTTCACACAATTTCCACTGTGTGGGCCTCCGAGAGACCTGATTTACGGAAATCCAGACTTTCAAGCGGGCCAAACATCTCTGGAAAATGGCTTCCCAACTTAATACCAGTTTTTGGTCTCAAGATAATTTGGACACTTACACTGGACAATCTGGAGTTGGACTGCTTCTTACCTTAACATGCCCGGTTCAGGGCCTTCAGGACGTTACTCTTCACTATGCATGTTCCTCAGATTTAATATTTCGCTACTTGCTGGTACAAGGTACTGTGGACTCGGTAATTACCTACATCCATGTAGTATATGCCACCGTATAGCCAGGACAGCGTCCACTAATTTTTGATAGTCTTCCTCGTCATTTTGAGGACGATGCTCATCACATAGTAATGGGCGACTTCAATACTGTATTTTCCAGTCAGCTTGACCAAGCTCGCTTCCATGACCAAGCTCGACAGCAAGGGCGTGAGGAACTTCTGGATTGGCTGAATGATTTACGATTAGTGGATGCGTGGCGACTACAGAATCCTGATCTTCAGGAATTTACAAGCCCGACTGGTACTTTTTGGATTAACTATGTTTTCGTAGACTATAGACTTAATTGATCAGTGTTTCAAGATATCTTCCATGATTTTCGAGCCAAGTCTGGCACGGAAGACCACATTGGTCTGACCTTTCGGCTTGGATCAACGTGTCTCAAGCCACCTGGACGAGCGCCATGGAAATGTCTCGCATGGGTTATTAATCTGCCTGAAGCTCAAGTCTATCTATCAGATTCATCATGCAAGCTTACTGCACCCTTTCTGCCGTGTATATGGAACTATAACCCTGGCTGCTTGCTCGATGAGCACAAACGGAAAGACTCAAATTTTCTGCGAGAATTATTTCACTTCAAGAAGAATAGTCGTAAGCGCAAAATTGAAGGACTCCACGTGGAGATAAACAAGCTCAAGCGCCAACAAGCGCTTTATACAACTGTGGATATATCGGCTACTCTATCTTTGGCTAAAGCAGAGCTCCATACAAAATTGGATGAATCCGCTCACTACGCCTCCAAGCAGAAATTCGCCTCGGATATTCAAGCAACTGAGCGATGCTCTAAATTTTTCTTTCGGCCACCCCAAGTACTCTACAAGTCTCCCATTCCTGTGGAATCGGCCGAAGATTTAGAGCCAGCTTGCTAAGCCTTTAACTCTTATTGGTCTGGTATATATTGCTCGCCTTCTCGAGAATTTGGGCAAGCGAAGCCAAATTGGGATCGCATGGGACTTTCTCAGATTTTACAGCATACGTCGTCAGTATTGACGCCGGAGGACAGGGCTAACTTGGATAGCCCCCTTACAGCTAATGATTTCTATTGGGCTTTACAGCATACGACGCCTGGGAAGACGCCAGGTCCGGATGGCTTGCCTCTTGACTATTATAAAGTCGATTTACCCCTTTGCAGCCGTATTTTAGAGGTGATTTACGGTGCCCAATTTCACAAGAGGAAAATGATCAAATTTCAGTGGCGGGCTCAGATTTCGCTGCTATATAAGCACAGTGATAGAACATTGCCTAGCAACTATCGGCCTATTACCCTTCTTAACGTATACGCTAAATCAGGGCCCGAAATTTTGGCGCACCGACTTGGCCGTGTTTTGAAGTATCTTTTGCACTCAGAACAATCTGGGTCTGTTCCAGGTCGGGGTATTCGGCAAGCCTATATTCGCTTGAAAGCACTGGCACAGTTATACTCAAATTTTGATACTCCAGCAGGTGCAGTTCTATTGGACTTCGCTAAGCTTTTGATAGTGTGGTATGGGATGCTTTGGATATGATTCTACAACACTTTGGATTTGGGCAGTCTTTTCGACGCTGGATTAAAGTCTATTTCCTGGCACCCTGGTCTCCCTCATGTTCAATGGACGACCGCTGGCCCCGTTTGAACTGGGAGCTGGAGTTCGTCAAGGGGATCCTCTATCACCTGCGCTTTTTGTGCTCTTTATTGAGCCTTTTCTCGATTTTCTTCGTGTCAAAATTCAGGATATGGGACTTCTCTGTGGGTCTTCGACACACTCGGTCATCAGTTTTGCAGATGATTGTACTGGTCTTCTGCATGACCTACGGCACACAAAGAATTTACTTGGATTCGTCGATCAATTTTGTTTGGCAACTGGCATGAGGCTTAATACCGCTTAGACTGTGGTGCTGCCATTTCGGCCTTGGTCTGCGGCTACTGAACCTCTGAGACTGGAACTCGAGCAATTGGGTGTCGTAGTTGTGGGGAATTCTGGGCGTACCAAACTGCTTGGAATTTACTATGGACCGCAGCTAAGTAATGCTGATCGCCTTCAGCACTTACTGGCTGAAATGCAAGCGCGGTGCTCCTTATGGACTCACCGATCTCGCACTCTTCGTGGTCAAGTATTAATTTTGCAGCAGATTATTTTACCAATTCTCTAGTTTTCGGCCAGTGTTTGTCATGTACCGGCGACTGGATTTCAAGACCAAGTCTCAACTTTGATATCTCAATTTCTGTGTAAATCCAAGTCCAAAATTGCCCTATTAAAGGATTGGTGAATTTTATCCACCTGGACTCGGCGGAGTGGTCCCCAATCCGGTGAGTGACATGATTCAGAGCTTGCAGGTTTACATGCTGTGCAAGATTATTTTGGCAGCTCGTACTCACTCAATTGCGGAGGTCCCCTCTTGGGTGGAGCCGGGCAATCTGTCTATTTGACCAAGCCATATCCCCATGGGGACAAGATTTTGATATCTTGTATGCGTCTGTATCGACTATCCCGGATTACTCTAAGTCTCACCGTTGGGCCCAGCTTGGAGATTACTGGCACTCCGTTCTTTTCATCTGATATACGCGTCTTCGGAAGAAGTTGGTACGCCGGCAATCAAGTTTCGACAAACTAAGTATTTCAATACTAAACAACGTTGATATCATGTACAAATGTAATGGGCGCACTCTGGCTGGGCAACCAAGGTAGACTGAATTGACTATACTGTTCAAGATCAGGAACTTTTTCGGCCCAGCGACTTATATCAAGTTTGCGGTAGTACCGTTACATGTGAAACTATCTCGGTGTTCCTCCGTACTCTTCAACATTGTCGTTCTACCGGTGCAAGCGCCTGCTTTAATTTTTTGGCTCGACTTCACTGTCTTCTTGGGCTCTCAAGGTATTCCATATTGGACCAGCTCCTACTACCCGGTATTTCTGCGCATCTCATGACTGGGTTTTTGATGCTACTATGCTCGAAGAACTCATTGTGTCTCGAATACGGTCCATTATTGTCAAGTGTACCAACCCAGTGCTGCCACTGTCGCGCTTGGGTTTGGATGAAGGACCTCCGCCAACTATGTAGAATAGCGACCTCAAAATGGGGAAGCATCTACTTCCAGTATATGAAGACCTGCTGTACCGGCTTCAGCATAATGTTTTCTTCCTGATTATTATAGGCTGCAACATCTCCCTGGTACACTTACTCTATGTCATCATGAATGTGAAACTTGGAGACGGCGCCCCACCTCTTTTGGAACTTTGAATTTGCTATTTAACTTTGGACTATTGGCTTAAAAAGTTTCAGCCGCTGTTTACCTCACCACTTGGATGGAACTCGGTGCTTCTATTCATTATTGAGACAACACTGGACGCAAAGACGTTGTATGGATACAGTCTTTTCGTGGTCTTTTATATCGTCCGTGCGGTCATCTTTCGCTGTCTTTGGATGCACCGTAATAATGTTCAATTTCATGATCTTCAACCCAATGGAACATACGTACTCGTCGAAAGTTTCATTACATACACGCGAAGCCTGCTTAAGTCCGTATATAATTTTCATCAGCTTCAATAAGTTATATATCATCAATTTATATACCTTCTGGTACCGTATAGTACACCACTTCTTTCATGACACCATAGAGAAAAGCCGTCACAACATCAAGCTGACCTAGTGACCATCCAAAGTACTTGGTCAAGCTGATCACCATGCGCAGCGTGACATACTTGACAACAGGGGAGAACGTCTCTGTGTAGTCAATGCCATACTTTTGCTTAAACCCTTTTGCCACAAGGAGTGCCTTATATTTCTAGATCGATCCGTCAGCTTTGCGCTTGATCTTAAATACCCACTTGGTACCAATAGCGTGCTGATCTGTTGACAGTTTGGAAGCTTGAAACACATCGCGAATCTGCATCAAATTTAATTCGGCCCGGATCGCCTTACGTCAATGAAATTGATCTGGCTCACCAACAGCATCTTGAAAGGTAGTCGGTTCACACAAGTCACTTCCTTCGACTGCATTAGCACTTGCTCGCCAAAAGGCAGGGAAAGTGAAGTCGTTTCCATCTTCATCCAGATCAGTTCGAGCCCTAAGTCGTCGCTTTACTCGATGCGCAACGGAGTCATCTGGCCCACTTGCTTCCTCCAATTCAGTCTTCCGACAGGCTTGATCTTCATCGGAGGGTCGACTTATGCGCTTTCCTGTTTGCCTAAATTCAGTTTGACGACAATTATTACTGATATCCAGGGCATCCAAATCCAGGGTAGTGTCTTCGACATTTTTTTCTGGGAGCATCGGCAAGAATCCAAAATTCAATTCATCGAATGTGACATCGCGAGAAACCACCACTTTCCCCGCCTCGATATCATAAATTCGATATGCCTTTGACACTTCTTCGTATCCCATGTAAAGTCCTTGACGAGCCTTGGGGTCCCACTTAAATCGTTTTTCCTTGGGGGTCAGTACATACGCACGACATCCAAAGACTCGCATGTGTTTCACGCTTGGCTGGTGTCCATTGATAATTTCAAACGGGGTTTGATCTTGGCACTTCGGCGATGGTAAACGGTTCTAATGTAAATTGCTGTCATGGCCGCTTCAGCCCAAAAGCAATTGTCTAAGTTGTCATAGTGAAGCATAGTCCGACCAATTGTCACAATTGTTCGGATGGCGCGTTCTGCCGTGCCGTTGGTCTGGTGCGCATACGGGACCGTAACTTGCTGCTCAATTCCTTCTTTTTCGTAAAACGTTGTAAGGGAAGTGGTCGCAAATTCACGAGCTCCATCGTGGCAAACAAACTTGACTTTCGCATTGAACTGCGTCTGAATTGCCATGATGTACTTCTTAATACACGCTTCACTGTCCGACCTGGCACGCATGGAAAACCCTTTCATGCATCCACTGCCTTCGTCAACGAGAAGCAATAGGTATTTACTATTGCCCAGTGAGTCGATTCCTGGGGCCACACGTATTAATGTGAAGCAGCTCGAACGAATCGAAGTGACGCTTATTGTGGTTGCTTGGAAATTGTCTTTGAACCATTTTTCCTTCTTGACACCCATAGCAAACACTTGATTCTCTTGATGTCGTCATAATTTTGGCATCCTTGATCATGCCATTTGCAACCAATTTGCAAAGGACGTCGACCGGTGCGTGACCCATACGCGCGTGAAAATCTTTAGTTCGCTGCCGACATGCCGCATTTGTAGACCGTTGAGAAGTTCGAAGCCAATAAAACTTATCTACAAGCTTTATTATTGCCGTCACTTGCCTTGTCTTTTTGAACGTAACGTGCATCTTAATTCCTTCGAACATGGCTTGGTACTTCTCGCTCTTGTTAATATGTGGAATTGACAGCAGATTCTTGTTCATACTTGGTACGAAGAGCGCATTTTTAATCTCTAATTCACGTTTGTCACCGTTAAATAAGACCACATATTCAACGATGATTCCGATACCCTTAATCGCAGCCTTATTTCCATCTGCGACTGACACTTCACCTTCATCATTCTCAGTGAGATCTCTGAAATTTTCCTTTTCATGGCGTATGTGGTGCGTGGCACCACTGTCAATCGCCCACGCTCCAGGCATTCCTTTACCTGTCGATAGCCCACACTCTAGTGACACAGCAAACGCCACTCGATCATGTTCATAGTTGTTGTTATAGCCCTTCCACTGGACTTGGTTGGCTCCGCGTCCACGAGCAATCCCGCCGCGTCGAGATCCTCGATTTTCCTCCTTTTTCTTAGTCCAGCACCCCTCCACCGTGTGCCCCAGTTTTCCGCAAAAGGTACACTGGCGAGACTCATATTCGGTGCTAAAGGCTTTACTTGTTACTTTAACTTTTACCGATGCCGTCTTCTCACCTTGCTTCTTGATGTGCTCATTCGTGAGCACCTTCACAACGTCTTGCGTACGCAATACCTCACTGAACATCTCCAGATTTAGCACTACATTTTCGTAGCTTTTTGGGCGACTGCGCAACAAGCAGATAGCCACATCTTCGTCTTCCATCTTGCCCCGATGCTGCGAAGCTTGGCACTGATGTTCACGACTTCATTGCAGTGATGCAATACGTTGGAGTCTTCCACCATCTCCATAATGAAGAGCTGGCGCTTTAGATAAAAGCGTCCAGCCTTCTACGATTCGCTGTAAAGTGTCTTTAACCGGGCCCATGCTACCCACGCTTCCTCGCATTTGTCGACCACGTGATGGTAGTCTGCATCCATGTGCAGCAACATCTGGCCAAAAGCAATGTTGCTTGTCCTGACGTACTCATCGGACATAAGAGGGTCCGTGAAAGTTGTTAGAGTTTCCCGGTTGACCACGTGCCACGTTGACTTGGTCAGGAACACGCCACGCATGTAGCGGTTCCATGTCGCATAGATGTTCCCATTGACCTTGTCAATGGAGACCTTGGTCGTCGAGTCTTGGCCAAAGGACATGGTACTTGGGCTCATAACCTGTTAGGAAATGAGAACTTGAGCGAAACGAAGAGAATAGAAGCTTGGACGTCGAAGTAAGTCTGCACTTGAGTGAAGACTGAACGACTTGAGCAGAAGAGAGAATATTTTGAAGTGATTCATTTATTGTAGCTTATTTCTGTCTACTACATGATCTACATGTAACTTACATATATATCATGTCAAACGTCTCCTCATCCTATGCGTCTCTTTATCATACGCGTGATCGGATTGATTTCAGCTGCCCGGTTAAGATACTCTGTATCTTAACCGGTAACTTTCAATAAGTAGTTACAAGGTTGTAGATACTGAGATGTTTATGCCTTGACTTTTATAGCTGGTAATGAACGCTTACTTTGTATGCATTATGGAGATAAACGAAGTTATTTGAAGTAGATTTTGAAATGGCGTGTGTGGTTTCTTGATTTATTTTGGATACGTAGTTCTTCTCTGTTTTACTATATGTGAGTGTAGTTACATGGTTGTAGATACTGAGATATTTTATGCCTCAACTTTTATAGCTAGTAATGAATCCCCATTTCGTATGTATAAGGGATAAACCGGTTGTTTGAAGTGAATTTGGAGATGGCGTCTGTTGTTTCTTTATTTATTATGGACAATTAGTTATTCCCTTTGTATAATGGGTGACAGTACTTACATGGTTGTAGATACTGAGATATTTATGCCTCGACTTTTATAGCTGGTAATGAACGCTTACTTTGTATGTATTATGGAGATAAACAAAGTTATTTGAAGTAGATTTTGAAATGGCGTGTGTGGTTTCTTGATTTATTTTGGATACGTAGTTCTTCTCTGTTTTACTATATGTGAGTGTAGTTACATGGTTGTAGATACTGAGATATTTATGCCTCAACTTTTATAGCTAGTAATGAATCCTCATTTCGTATGTATAAGGGATAAACCGGTTGTTTGAAGTGAATTTGGAGATGGCGTATGCTGTTTCTTTATTTATTATGGACGATTAGTTATTCCCTTTGTATAATGGGTGACAGTAGTTACATGGTTGTAGATACTGAGATATTTATTATTCCTCGACTTTTATAGCTAGTAATGAATCCCCATTTCGTATGTATTATAGGAATAACCTGTTGTTTGAAGTGAATTTGGAGATGGCGTATGCTGTTTTCTTATTTATTATGGACGATTAGTTATTCCCTTAAAATAATGGGTGACAGTAGTTACAAGGTTGTAGACACTGAGATGTTTATGCCTCGAATTTTATAGCTGGTAATAAACGCTTACTTTGTATTTATTATTATTATTATAGGGATAACCGGTTGTTTGAAGTGAATTTGGAGACGGCCTGTGCTGTTTCTGAATACTTTTAAGCAGTTAAATTTCTCTATATAGTTTAGTAAGTAGGGACTAGTTTTCTTATTTACTTTACTTTAGCTTTAGTATATGATATCATCATATAGGCAATTTATGGTTTTCTATATGCATCTTTATAGGAATGATTTGCGTTATTCCTAAGATACGTATAGATTACAAACACAAGTACGCTATATCAACGTTGGGATTCATTCTGAAGTTGAAAGTGTATGCCAGGAAAATGAGGTTGTATTCGTATGCTTTGCATTAGAATTCAGTTTTATTTGACGTATTGATTGCGTTGCGCTGTGTATTTTGTGCTGACGTGGTGAGAAGTTGCTGACGAGAACGTGTACTGGATTAGTTACCCGTGTACATGATTTTGAATGTGATGACTTACTACTGACGTTGCGAGGTGCAACAACAACGCTCTATCGGAGCTGGCGTGAAGGAGTGCTGCGGTGGGTGGTTTAGTGTTTGTGCGGATTTCGGTCTGTATATCGCTGGATAATATCTTCTGTGGTTCGTTTTGCGCTGGATATATCCGGTGGAAAGATTCAAATTCGGGTAGAACCGAACTTGATCTGGGGCTAGTATGCAGCATGCGTAGGGGACTACAACCTGAAGTGTGTCGTGTCGTGCTCTATTATTCGCTTCTTGTTCTGCTTCGGCGGAGCTGTTGAAGTGAGGATCGTAATTTATCTTTCTATGCTGGAAGGATGGAGAACGAGTTCTCGGCTAATTGTGACGACTTTGGGCATTGCTACGTTTGAGTTGATACTGTTTTGCTTTCGGGTGAAGTGACTTTGATTTGAATGCGGTTTTGTTCTATGTTGTTATGTAGTGCTGAGGCGAAGTTTTCGTCTTGATAAGTATGAATGATATTAACCTGGTTGATCCTGCCAGTAGTCATACGCTTGTCTCAAAGATTAAGCCATGCATGTCTAAGTATAAACACTTTTGTATTGTGAAACTGCGAATGGCTCATTATATCACTCGATAGTACCTTACTACTTGGATAACCGTAGTAATTCTAGAGATAATACATGCATACATACCCAACCGCTTGTCTAGAGTTGGTTCGAGATTTTGGATCATCTTCATGATGCTTGTCGGGAGGGTAGCATTTATTAGATTGAAACCAATGCAGTCATAGACTGGTATTGTGTTGAATCATACTAACTGTGCGGATCGCGCTATTGCGCGATAAATCGATTGAGTTTCTGCCCTATCAGCTTTGGATGGTAGGATATGGGCCTACCATGGCATTAACGGGTAACGGGGAATTAGGGTTTGATTCCGGAGAGGGAGCCTTAGAAACGGCTACCACATCCAACGAAGGCAGCAGGCGCGTTAATTACCCATCCTGATACAGGGAGGTAGTGACAATAAATAACAATGCTCTGGCTCTTCGAGTCGGGCAATTGGAATGAGAACAATTTAAATCCCTTAACGAGGATCAATTGGAGGCAAATCTGGTAAAATAAGTTTTTTATTCAGTGTTAGAAGTAGTGTAGAAATAGAAATCCTATAATAGGTAATCGTAAATAGACGAATTGAAACCGAGGCCGGGCCAAATCATACAATAAATACGAGAAAAAACTCGCGACGAAGATCGAAGAACCGCCACGACAACGAAAACTAAGCCAACCACACAACGCCGACGACTCAAAAGAGGAAACCGAAGACGATGAATGGTGATCACGAACGGAGAAGAGGAAGGAAGCAGGAGCATGCAGATCATGCCAAACTGGACGAAGTTTAACCCGACCGAGTGACCACCGCCTACTGGCGTAGTCCCGAAGGAGCCTGCAGAAGGTGACTGCCCGACGCACCGGGAGTACGGGGAGGCGGTTTACCTAAGATTCCGGGTCATGAAGCAGTGGAAGAAGAACTTTGGTCTGGCGCAGCGCGCGATGGCGCTGCGGATGGACACATCAGGCATCGACACGCGGCAAGAGTTAGCAGAAGGGCGAAAACGCGGGAAGGACGGACTGGGGTGGTCAAGAAGACGCCGGAAGGGAGGAGTCAGAAGTTTGCCCTATGTGGTGGACAGGAAGATCATCCACCCTAATATGGTGGCGTCCAGCACCCAACGAAGAAGCGAAGAGATCGGCGCAGCTTCACCCGAGGAGGACGAGCGGAGTGAAGAACTAGAGCGCGAAGATGAAGAATAATTCGCGAAGGAGATCGGCCTGACGCAAGCGGATAGCGACGACGAGGAACCAGCAAACGGAACGCGGGGCTGGATACTGCAGAAATACAAAGTGGGACAACGAGTACCGTGGCCAACGGACGTCCGGCGTGTGATTATGATGCTGAACCCTTCCAAGATCACCTTTAACATACTTGGCGTACAAGAGAAGAAATGCGGATGTGAGGGACGATGCGAGATCGCAACGTGTCCGAACGCGGCGGAGGAGCAGGTATGTGTGACTGATATGTGGCGGAGTGGACTCTCATACGACGCGAAAGAACCACAAACACACACAGCGCCTGGACTGCCGGCTTACGGAGGGGGTACCCCGATACCGTGTCGCGTCAACCTTGGGTATCACCTTGTGTACCCGTCGGCTTGGCTGGTCTTGCTCCTCGTTAGACGCAGAAGACTTGAAGACTTGGTCTTGTATGGAGGGACTTGGTTCCACGAGGGGATATACTTCACTCAAGCCCGGGGTTTCTTGGACTCAATCGACTTGGTCGAGAGCAATACACCTGGTACATGTACCCCTTCGGTGGCTAACACTTTCTTGATCTTTCGACCACTGTGCTTGTTCCCCGTAGGGAAACTGCTTCCTGTAGCGGGTTTTGAATGAGTACGAACCCACAGGCCAAAATACTTCCTGGGGTTCGTTCGAGCTTGAATCTTACCACACGACTGTCTTCAAGGGGGGGGGCAAAATAAATCTCTTCCCCGGAACAGGTGGGTAAGTTCACACTTGAGTCTTGACTTACTTGACACCTCAGGCCAACTATCCTGAGGTTCAACTTGCGTTGCTTGAGCCGTCACCTCACCTGACGTCGGTGGGCCAAAGGGTATCCCGCCCGGAATAGGTGAGGTGACGGAGAAGCTTGAAGACAGCGCTTGGAGCTGCCATGTGTAATGCAAATTCGAGTGTGTTTATTTATCTTATACTTTGTATACTTTTTCTTGCCTAACCCTAATCCTTCGCTCTGGATAGTGCCACGTGTCGACTCTTGAAAGAAGAACTGGCTCCTTAGCACCTGTACTTTCTGTAACCTTCGGGGTTCCGTGTACCGTTTCGCATCCTTGGCATTGGGCCCTGGGCCCTGCAGGGATGTACCCTGGGCTCTTGGACCTTGTGGACTGTACCGGCTCTGCACGCAGAAAGACCTTGTACCTTATTTGACCTTAAGACCCTGGACCACCTCGGGGCACTAAACCATTCGGAGTCCTGGTTTACAGTATGTGCGCACGGTAAAGAAACCTTGTACTTTCTATGACTTCAGGATCCTGGACCTTCGGTACCCCTGTCCCTGGAGACTGGTACCCCTGTCCCTGGTGACTGGTACCCCTGTCCCTGGTGACTGGTACCCCTGTCCCTGGTGACTGGTACCCCTGTCCCTGGTGACTGGCACCCCTGTCCCCGGTAACTGGTACCCCTGTCCCCGGTAACTGGAAAATCCTGTCCCCGGTAACTGGAAACTCTGTCCCCGTTAACTGGTACCCCTACTGGAAACCTTGTCCCTGGTGACCCTCGTCTGAACCTTGGGATCTTGCGAGGCCTAAATATCGTCATTCCCTTGTTTGAGTAACCTGAATTTCTTTCTCCTTTATTACTATATCTTTAGGGCCCCGATTATATGGCACTTCTCCACATATACGTGAGTGCGAATGCATGCGACAACCGGTTCCGATAGCGACGCCATGGAGTTGGAAAATACACGCACGGGAATCGGCGTGGTGGCGACGCGGCCTATGCCAGCAGGAGGTGTGGTCTGCCAATATTGGGGCCAGTACGTATTGGACCCCCCACGTGGGGCGGCGTATACGGTAGATTTGCGCCAACGGGACACGAAAGGACACCGCGTGTACGTCAGCGCGGAAGAGTGCGGCTCGGTGGCGCGAATCGTAGAGCGTTCTTGTATCGCGAACACCCACATCCATGAGGTGCGGGGGAGGCGACGAGTGGTCGTGTCGCTGGTGGCGCAATCCGATATTTCCCCTGGTACAGAGGTCACCGTCGATTATACCGGGCAAATGAACAGCGCCCTCTGGTTTCATTGCCAGATCGCCTTGCACCAGAACGAAAGCCGAGACGCCTTGCGCGCGACCGCAATGAAGAAGAAAGTCGAGCCAGCCGGAGACGAAGAGCGGGAACGACAAAGTAGGAGAACGTAGGATAGGAAGAGTAGGAAGGAAACGAAACCCCTTGGCCGAAAAGTAAGAACGAAAAAAAAACCCTTTTTGGAACCGAAACACATGTTCGATAACCATGAGAGCGAGAAATGCGGTAGCCACAGCAGATACGCTGAAAAAATGTTCAGTCAAAATTAGAGGTGTCGAAACTGAGCAAAATTGGACGCCAGAAGTCGAAGAAGCCGACCTCTGAGGCCAATTCGCCACTAAGCCGAAGAGGCGGAACAAGCTGCGTCAGATCTCGGAGACGAAGTGCCAGAGACGGCAAAGTGACCGTAGACGACCAATTTCCGGTTTACAGAGCCGTAAGAGGTGAACGTTGATGTAAGCCATCGCACGATTAGCAACGGACCGCGCATCAGGACCGCCCCGTTCATCATGCAGTCGATGTGATGGAGCCACAATGTGCACAGGATGCTGCACCGGATGACGTTGAACACCCGGAGGATGGTGTGAGCCCCGAATTTTGCGACAGCGGAAGGAGTGAGCGGAGACCCTGCGCGTATACCACCGCGCCCCAGTCGACATCGCCAGTCGATAGGACTATCAACTCGGGAAGATATTTATCCCAGACTGCCTGTGCAACGGCGCAAGATCGAAAAAGGTGTTGGTCGGTCTCGACCACCCCGCATTCATGAGCGCACAGGACGTCAGACGTTTGATGTTGGCACTTCGATCGGACATTCAGGCCATTATGTCGAAGCCGGAATCTACATCGGCAAGGACGGGAAGCACTTCTTGATTAAGAGAGCTCTCACGGCGCCATAACACCTCCCATTGCGGCTCAACAGGAACCTCCAACGGAAGATGAGGGGGTCGCACAATGGTAGGAACCGGTTGAAGGAGACGATAGAGGACATGGTTCGGCGCATCCAGAAAGAGCATACCAGCAAAGCACCGCCCTGGGAGGATGCACACTGAGCTGGAGGCAGATGAGGGCCAAGCACAGCCGGCTGTGACGGATCCAAGCCAAGCAGGCGGCGAACTTGGAGAGGTAGATGGCTTGCCGCCCTGAAAATTTGGTGTTGCAGCGAGTAATTTTTGGCAACAAGAATCTCTCCGCATTAGGCTGGCGTGGTAAGGCATCCATGTTAATCCACAAAGTCTTGAAGGAGAGCGTAACCGAGATCGTAGAAACGGTGCGCTGCAGTGGATGCTGCGCCGGTCAGGCTATTTGCCGCATTAGCCCGCAAGAAGTGGTATCGCCAGTACGGCAGCTCAGTGAGATCCCATTCAAAATTGTCGAGGGTACAGTGAGTGACCACCAGTTTGTGCCAAGTGAAGGGATCTGATCCAAAAGATAGCGAGACCGAGCCACGCTTCCGGCAACGTGATTCCTCGCGGAATAGGCACGTAAAGAAGGTCGAATCCTTCGCCACCATACACCAGCGGGCCAGTAAAGAGGATAAATGCTGGACGAAACCAATGAGGTATAACATGAGACACAGACAAAGCGGCCATAGCGTCCCGAAGAAAGCAGAGCTGGAGGGCTGCGGTGGAGGCAACCGTATCTGGAAGCCCAGCCCGCACAGCGACGTCGGTCGGTACAGCCACTCATTTGCCATCGGTCCCTTAAAAAAGGCGGGTGTCGGATATAGTTTTCTTAATTAAAAACGACTTGCAAAGTCGTTTAATTTGCAGGCGATTGGGGGGTACTATAGTCACCGCAGCAGTATACAACAGGAGGGGCAACACAATCGTGCGGAGGATAACAGCCCGCCCTAGCAATGTGCGAGCACGATAACGCCAAAGCGTGCAGCGAAGAACCATGTCAGCTATTAGACAATAGAACCGAGAACTGGTAGGGAGCGAAGTACTGACGTGAAATTCCAGAAGCCGAACGGAACCAGCATCAGCGGCGACATCCCAACCCTCCGATTCCATCTCCTCCCGGACATGTAGGGGGAGAGGAGAAAAGGGGGAGAGGTGAGTCTTGGTCACATTGATACGTATCACAACAGCCGCCGAATAGCGGCGGACGGAAGTGACGAAAGTTGGCGCGTGCTGAAGATTATGCAGGAGACCGGTGCTATCAACGGCGAACGCAAGCAGGTGGTGCCGCTCGCGATCTCCGGGGGCCGTCAGTCTAAGATGCTCCGTTGTAGCTTAAGGGTAGCACAGGAGGTGTTCGATGAAGAAAACGAACAACTTTGGAGACAAAGGGTCCCCTTGGCGAAATCCGCAGCCCAACTAGAAAAAAGACTAGCCGAACCAATAAAGAGTATGCTGACCAGGGTACCCTTGAAGAGTACCAACCCGATGGAACAGAAGATTGGACCAAAATCAACATGATGGAGCACTACGGTCAGCGCTACCCAGAGGACACTGTCGAAGGACTTGTCGAAGTCAAGTAGGACAGCGCCAGCCGAAGCCCAACCAAGACTCTTTGCGAGAGACTGGAGGCCTTGGAATCGTAGGAGAGCGTGGCGGATCGAGCGGCCACAGACAAAGCCAAGATGTATAAGGGTAGAAAGAATGGTGCGAAGAGGCCACGTCAAGACCTTCGAATTAAATTTAGCATCATTATTCTTAATGTTATGGGTCGGTAATTACTGGGAAGACTGCGATCGCCTTCCTTATAAAGTAGCTAGATGTAGGCCTAGCGTTGAGACTTTTTCATAGGCCACGTCTCAAGTTAGTGGCATAAATCATCTCAAACACCTGAGCCCAGCGATCAGAATAGAGTTGGTAATACGCGGCAGGTAGGCCGTCACGTCCGGCCGAGCGGCCGTTTGGAGATTCAGTGATTGCTCAGAAGATGTCGTGAGACGAGATCGGTGTGTCGATTGCCTGCCGTTGGGCGTCTGCACGTCGCGCTGTAGCATGTTCAATCAGTTTGTGGAGGGCAATGGGATCATAGCGTCGCCAGTTGGACTCGGCGTGCAGGTCCCTGGAAAGGGACTTGAAATGTAAGCTTCAGTAGCGTAGGTGCTCCGCAGCCATGGCAGATGGCTTCGAAGTGAAGGCCCGGACGCCGTAGTGACAGAGAGACTAGACACCTAGTGAATCGAGGGTGACGGTGAACGGAAAAAATACGACGAGCCGCGCTCGCCATCTGTAAAATCCTGATCAAATTTTCTTTTTCCCAGCGAGCAGCAAAAGTGTCCTGAAGCCTTCGGAAGCCATGCTGAGCCGTCGCGACAGCCGCTCGATAGTCGAGTGACGATTCTACAGCTTCGAGAGCCTTAACCATACGTAGATCCGCCCGGAGGTCGGACAGGCGCTTATCATCACAATTCTGCAGGGAACGTTGCATTTGCTGGTGGAAGGCGCGATCGGACTCCTTGTGTTCATCCAAGAGCGTTCCAGGGTTGTTGCCTTGAAACCAATGGAGGCGATCGCAAAGGCAGTGAAGCGTGACATTGAGCGTTGCTGCAACAATCGGTACTTTGGGTAGCCAGCGAGGACACCTGCAGGGTAAATGCATACGAGGGGTGACGCAAGTATAAACTCAAGTGGGTAATTATCTTCATGATACCAATGTTTGTCCAAGAAGTAACGCGAGATACGGTAGGAGAGGTCGTAGAGAGTCGGCGATACAAGACAATAGTCTATTCGGTTCCGCTGATTAGGGTCGTAGAATACGCGTCGATAAGGAACGGTAGTCCGCCAAGGGTCAAGAATTCCTAATTTTAGCATCCAAGATTGCAGCTCGTCTCGTCCTAGGCCATGCGGATAGGGCACCAGCTCATCAAGCAAGTGTTCAAGAGGAACGTTCAAGTCACCGAGGACAAGATGGCAAGCTACGTCAGAAAAATCAGTCGGCAGAGAGGTTTATAATCGTTCACGGGTCTAGGAGCGTAGACGAGATCGATGAAAAGTGAACAGAAGCCGAGCGTGGCCTTAACGACGAGGCAGTTGGCTTACTTGGCGGCTGGAGCGTAGACGACGTATACATCGATAACGTTCTTGAGAGAGTGAGCACCGTAGAGGAAGAGAGCGACACCGTCGTGGCCAGTATAATCGGAGTCGTCACGATGGGACCAAAAACTTAGGAACGTTAGTCAGAAGAGTTAATGTAGTGAATGACCACCTTCAAGCGGTCATCGGTAGTAAACTTGGTTTTTTGAAGGGCGACAAGATGATAGTCGACCAGGAGCTGGGTAAACATACTTCGGGCCGCACAACCATGACGACCGGGCGCATTCAGTCTATCAATATTCATATACATACCGCGCAGGTCCCAAGGCGACTCAGAGGTGAGCCACCTGGGTCGCCTCCGAAGAGATCAAGGAGCCGTCATCGGAGGCGTCACCAGCCGACGACCGCGAAAACGCCGAGTCAGTAGAAGCCATGGACACGCAATCGTCGATGTCGCAGGGGTTGTCCTCAAGGAAGAGCGCCATCGCCGAAGAAATCGATAGTCTGAGATACTGGCAATAGTCTTGCCCCAACTGGAAATGGCATAGGGTCGTCAGCGTTTAGTCCGTCTAGAGCAAGAAGTGCGAATATGGGTACCAAGACACCGGTGTGGTGCCACAAAGAGCTTTCACTTTCACTGGGTCGTGATAAATGGCTGGTGCGCGCGCACGAAAAATAAACCCACAAGCGCATACGCGCGAAATATCGAGAGACGATTCTTCCGGGATGCAGACCGCAAGAATCGAGTTCGTGGGAGGCGACATGTCTCCCCAGTGATGGTGTTGCAAACGGCGAATGAAGCTTATTCGGTACCATGGGTCGTTGAAGGTTGGCCACCGTACACCCAAAGTAACGCATGTTCCTCGACCACCGGCGACAAGGATGCCCGGCGGCGTGAACAACCGGAGCATAGGCACTAAACTGAGGGGTCAGGGCCGCAACACGATCTTTAGATTCATGTAGACCAGCAAGATCCTGCGCCGCGCGTCTCGCACGGCGACGATATTCCGAACACTTTAACGTGTTCTTAGAAGGAGCAAGCCCTAAGCGGGCGGCCACCAGGCTGCCCACCGTCTCAGATAAGGCACGTGGCGAGCATCGGATCTGCATTTCGGCTGCAAAAGCGACTGAATAGGCGTCGCCAGCAGTGTATTCATCGAAATCTTCTCACTAAAAGCCAACTCGAATGATGTAGGCGTGACGGGGAAGCCGAAGACCAGACGGCCATCCTTCACTGGGCTGTTAGAGGCGTCAAACTCTGCAGCAACGCTTATGTTCGGGGCACGTGAGCAGAGGGCATGGCGCGTCACCTTCATCCATGCTTGCACAGAAGCCGTCGGCGCTAAACTATAAATAATAAGAATGCCTTCCGTCAGCGTGCGGACGGGCGGTGAGGCCGCGGCCGCTGCCTGCGCCCCCGACGGTGTCGATACGGCGTTCGCGGGTGCACGCCTCGACGCCGGAGAAGACGCGCGCCATGCAAGGACGAAAGGCCGCAGCACCTGTTTAACGAGCGTGTATTGTGCTGTACGTACACCGGGGACTCGAAACCGATCTCACGCAGAGGTTGTCCACCAGGCATGAGTGCCGCTGGGATGTCATGCTGCAGAAACCAGACTGTGCGGTCCCGAAACATCAGAGAGCTCTCCAAATGTTTCGGCGCAATAATTGGTTGCAGGCCGAGGCGAACAAAGTAGTCGTAAATTGCATTTTCCTCCAGGTCAGAAGCCTTTCGAGTTAGGTCGGCGAAATACCAGCGCTCGTAAGCGCTGTAGGGCTTGACGATCAGTTTATGGCCCATACACGTCACCGCAGTCGATCTTGCTGTCGAGGTCTCGGTTGGTACAGGTGAAGCGAATGCCGTGGCCCTTGACGCAGACGAAGTCGCAAAGGGAGATAAGTGCCTGGTCTTACGTGGTGGACTGTGGCTCCCTATTAATGACATGGAGAATGTCGTCGAAGCGAAGTCGCTGAAAATTCACGACGCTGGGATAAAAAACTTGACCTTATCGTCCGTGGCGACACGAGAGTGCTGCACTTCCCGGAGGGCAACGGCGCGAAGTTTATCCGCCGAAGCAGACCGAGCCTGCGTCTCCGCGATGTGAGCGAAGAACTTGTCCATCGGTACATGACGCGGCGGACGACCGAATCTGACACGTTACTCCTGGCGTGCGTTGGGGATAGGCGCCTTTTGAATAGAAGCCGTTTGGTGTGTAAGGACGCGACGGGGAAACCATCTTGAAGATTAGTTTGAAAGGCAATTGGAAAGACGAAGGTTGCGCACGGACAGGGCAGGCGAAGCAACAACAAGAATTCGAAAGTGTCGCACGTGAGCCGAGCGTGGGGTCGTGCGAAAAGCCGCGAGGGTAGCGTCACATTATTGGCTGAAGGCGCGGAGTGAATGTCACGTGCGCGCTAGCTGGCAAATTGGAAACTGGAGGGCAAGTCTGGTTCAATAGTTGTTTATTATCAACGGCCGTTGATAATAAACAACTATTGAACCAGCACAGATTAATATGCAGGGTGGATCAGGAATCAAGGGTGTGTTGTCCACATTGATATGGTGTGGTCTACATAATATGGTGTGATCTACCCCAGATATAAAGTCTGACATGATCTTTGGCCTACCCAAGTATGAAGTTTGAGAGGTCTCAAAAAACATGCAGGTTATAAATTCTAGAGGTCGGGGTTTCTCGAATATTCTCGAAAAGAGGCCGAAGAATTGAGCGCATCGCGAGTGTACTTGAAATTTGGTCTACCGAATAACCGCGGAGAGGGATGACGCGAATGAACTGGAAGGAGGGGTGTTGCGAATGTTCTCGAAAAATGGGCACCTCCAACGTTCTCGAAACTGAGTGTCGAAAATGTTCTCGAAAATGAAGTCCCGAATGTTCTCGACAATGGGTAAGACGAGCAAGCCGATATCGAATGTTCTCGAAAGTGGGTGGGCAGGTCAGGCCAATGCTGAAAATGGGGTCATTTCCCAAATTTCCAACAATGACTTAAACTCCCACAACACCAACCGAATAGCGGCTGCCGCACTGATTACCAGGGGTAACGGGGCGACGACCGCGCTGAGCGGGTCCACCGCTACAGAAGCAGGTACCCCGCATGAGTCCTATGTGTCCTTTAACACGGGCCCTTTGGAAGCGTGCGGGCGCGTTGGGAAGGTAGATGAAGCCCAGCATAGGCAGGCAGTCGCTACCGAGACAACTGGAGATCGGTACTCGTATCTCGGGGAACGCCTGACGGCGGCGATGGTGGACCTGACGGCAATGGGGACGTAGGAAAGAGGTGGGGAAACCCGGAACGGCAAGTGCAGGGGTAGGCGAGGTTGAATAGCGTAGCGCATCCCACAATAACAAGAATAATACACCACCGCGTAAACAATCTTGCCGCACCGTGCTCAGACATAACGGCTAGGGCGAGGCCTCGCCGGACTCAGGGGAAAGCCACCTACCACATAATGTGCGAATACGGGGGTTCTCAGCAGCACGCATACGGCGGAGGTGAAGAGTGATGTAAGTCCGGGCGCGTTGGAGGACGTACGATGTGTTGGTGGACCCTCCGTTCATCATACAGTCATAATGATGAAGCCACAGGATGTACAACACACTACAGCGTAGCACTTTGAAGACACGGAGCATGTTGTGGGCTCCGGAGGTAACGACGGCATGCGGGGTAAAGACGACCTCCTGGAGATAAACCACAGCCGCCCACGTGATGTCTCCGGTGAGAAGCGGCCGAAAGTCGGAGAGGAGCGTGTCCCAGGCGTGACGCGCCACGGGGCAATACTAGAAGAGGTGTTGAGGACTCTCCACGTCGGGACACCCATGCACGCAGAGGACGCATGATGTCTGGTGCTAGTACTTGGACCGGACGTTAAGGCCATTGTGTTAAAGACGGATTTAATGTCCGCCAGGATCGGCAGAAGATCCAGGTCAAGGTCCTCAAGAGGTAGTCATTCATACGACGGCACCACTAAAATTCCGAGAGGAGTATGCGGCGGTCGTGGTATGGGAGGCCGAGAGTGAAGCAGACGGTAGAATCCGTGGTTACGGCCCTCAAGAAAAACGACGGCACCGAAAAGCCACCCGTGAGAAGCCGCAAACTGAGCTCCTGGAGACGAGGCGCCAGCAGAGGAGAGGCGTCAAGATCAAGGCCAAGAAAGGCAGCCACCTGCCGGCTAAAGTGCCCAGCAGCACCGGACCACTGAGCACGAACGGTAAAGTGGGCTGGATCAAGGACGGACTTGCACACTGTTGCCGTCGGGTACGCGCCATGACGGTCCACAAAGTCCTGAGCGCGGGTGTACCCAGCCGCAATAAACTGAAAAGCATTGATCGAAGCAGGCCCGGTGATTCGGCGCGCGGCGTTGGCACGAAGGAAGTGGTTCTGCCAATATGGCAGCTCAACGATGGCCCAATCGAAGTCAGACAGCGTGCAATGACGGACGACGAGTGAGTGCCAAGCACGAAGAGGGTCGATCCAGAAGGGGCCGATATCCATCCAGTGCTTGGACAACGTAAGGCCTCCCGGGATAGGGGCGTACAGGAGATCGAACTCCTGACCACCGTAACGGAGAGGCGCCGAGAAGAGCTGAAAGGCGGCGGCAAACCAGCGAGGGACAACGTGCGTTGCATCAACTTCCCTCATGGCGTCACGAAGACTGCAAAGCTGGACAGCATGGCTGAACGACGATGTCTCTGGGAGACCGAGACCACCTTGGGACGTTGGCCAGTAAAGCCATTCCTCCGCCATTAAGCCGCGAATGCGCGCGTGTCCGACAGTTCCTTTTTAAACAGGAAGGATTTGCAAAGGCGCTTGACGTGGGTCGCGACATTCAGAAGTACACAATTAACGGCCGCCGTGTACCACAGAAGGGGTAGCACAATCGTACGAAGGATAACTACACGAACGAGAAGGTTGCGTGCACGATACCGCCAGAGCTTGCAGCGAAAAACCATGGCATCAAGGACCCGGGGAAATCGGGAGCTGGTCGGGAGTTAAGGGCTCATGAAGATGCCGAGGAGACGCACCAAGCCAGCATCCCTGGACGAACCCGGTCTGGTCCGAGTGATGGTGACGCGGAATAATAGTACGAAGACGCCAATCCAGGACCTTCGGACCGAACTTGGCATCGTGATTAAGCAGCGTGATAGGACGGTAGTTACTGGGGAGATCCCGATCACCTCCGTTGACCAACAGGGAGATATAATCCATACGCTGAAAACGCGACATGCGACCATGATCAAAATTGCTAGCGTACACCATTTCGTACACTTGTGCCCAAGCATGAACATTGAGCTGGTAGTACTCCGCGGGGAGCCCGTCGTAGCCGGCCGAGCGTCCCTTAGGGGAGTGGGAGATGGCCCAATAGAAATCATTGGCCGTGATAGGGGCATCAAGCATACGACGGTCTTGCTCGGACAGCCGAGCTGTCGTGTGCTGGAGGAGTCGTGGAAGGGCAATGGGATCGTACTGCCGAGGCGGTGTTGAAGAGGCCAGGTCCCATGAAGGGGACTGAAAAAGCGAGCCCCAATAGGAGCGATGGACAGCCGCCATCTCTTCAGGGTCATCCGTTACCGAGCCGTCAGATGTGGAGACAGAAGGTATCACCACTGAGTGAGCGGAAGACGTAGGCGAGCGGAAGAAAGAGGCCGAGCCCCGTTCACCCTATGAAACAGTTTGGTCGAACTTAGACTTCTCACGACGACTCGCGAAGAACTCTTCCAAGGCTCGAAGCGAGCCACGAGCTGCTTCGAGAGCAGAGCGCGTGTCTGGGGTTGAACTAACCGCGTCAACAGCGTGTGCCATGCAGACGTCGCTGCGGAGTTTGGCGAGGCGTTCATCATCGTTGTTCCGTAACGCGCGTTGCATTTCACGAAGAAAAGCGCGATCAGCAGCTTTGTGTTCATCAAGGAGCAACCCTGGGTTGTTGCCAGAGAACCACTTGAGGCGGATGCACAAGCAGGTGAGCGTCCGACTGAGGGTTTCGCGAACAATAGGGACGTTCAGTAGCCAGCGAGGACACTTCCCGGAAGACGCTTGCTATCCGGCCGGGATGGCGAAGCAAGGTGGAACTTCACCGGGTAGTGGTCTTCGTGATACCATTTCATGTCAGTGACTTATCTTGACCCGCGATAGAATTTCTCATAGAGACCGGGTGTCACGAGACAATCGTCGATCCGATTGCACTATTGGGGCCCGGAGAACAGGCGTCGGTCCGGGAAGGTAGAACGCCACGGATCCAAGACGCCAAGCTCGAGCATCCAAGTTTGAAGTTCTGCCCGACCAAAATTATGCGTGTAAGGCACTAGCTCGTCGAGAAAGGGGTCGAACGGCGTATTAAGGTCACCGAGAACCAGATGCTGAGCCGAATCTGGAAAGCGGGTAGGTAGAGATTCGAAGAATCGTTTTCGAGCAGTAACCTCCACAGGGGCGTAGACGACATGAATAAAGACTTGGAGGGTCCCAATCACAGGTATCAAGCACGAGGTTGCGGCCGAGCTAATCAGCATGAGCATAGAGTGTGGTGACATCTGTCACTGAGGTGAAGGGATGGGTACTGGAAAGTATGAGAGCTACACCGTTACGAATTGTGAAGTCGGCGTC